TATATCTTCATATTCTGAAGAATTATCTTGAGCTTGATTATTCTTATTGTCTTCGCGTGGTTATTAATGTTAAAAAGAATTCAGCTATCTGATTCTCTGAGATCTCTTTATAATTAATCAATCTCATATTAACAGGCATTTGATATGAGATATTTAAATGAAAGAAGCAGCTATTTGAAAAGCTTATTGTATAATTATTGCATGATTATAATACTTTGTAGAAGTGCAAGAGCTTTATAATCTATAAAAGAGATTAAATGTAATTGATTATTATTATTATCTTCTAACTAACTAGCAGCTAGTGAAAGCTAAATATATATGTATGAGTCACGTGAGTTAGAGCTTGTGTAGTAGCTTTAACATTAGTTAACTAATCATGTCATACTTACTCACTCTCTGTAGTGAGTGCATTACAGTGTATAGAAAATCACACTGTAAAGAAAATATTTTCAATATCTTCATTCTTCATCTTTAAATAATCATTATTAATTATAATCATGTCTAAATCTTCTAATTACACTGAGAAGCAGTTGCAAAGAGCTGTTAATACATACAAAAGTAATTTAAAATTAAAAATCACATCTCTGTTACAAGAATTCAAAGTCTCATATATTATCTTATATAAGAGAATCAATGAAAAGAAATCAAGAACTATGAGAGTTTCACTGAATTAAGCATTGAATGACAGTCAGAAAGAGACAATTAAGATATAAATTCATCAGTTAAACATTAATTTTTACTCATTTATTATTAAGTATATCAAAGCTGCTGTGAACTGTATGTTAAGACAGTATTATACAGATTCAGAGACTGAATCTCTTACAGTAAGTAAGATATAAATATATTGATTTATCAAATGCCTGTCAGATTACAAATAAGTTAAGTAAAAATTCATGAATTTAAAATAATGCTCTGAATCTTAATATATACAATAATGATAATAATATATACAATCACTTTACTCTGTTATCTGCAGATTGACTGTTAACTGTCTTCTCATAATTAATCTTCTCAGAGACAGTTGTAAAACTACATCATTAAATTGATGCAGCAGTCAAGATCTTAGAAGATGTGAAGAATACTCTTATATCTGATTTGATAAGACAGTTGAACAAGATCTTTAAGAGTAGCATGATTCAGGCAGAATTGAATATACACTGTGAGAATGAACTTGTAGATTATTATCAAGTAAATAGACATCAGATCATTAAATTCTCTCACAGACAGATACAAGTAGATGAAGTTCTTACTATTAAGAATGCTAATTGTAAGATCACAACTTGTAGAGCAGATGAGATGAAAAAGATGTTTAATAAGACTCTTCAATTAATTGAAATCAAATCTATAAAATCTACAGCTACTTAATCATAATAAGATAATTCTATAGAATCTTAACTTACAGTGAATTCTACACCTTCTAATGAGTATATAGATAATCTTTATGTTATAGATAGATGTGATGATGATTATTAATTAATTTTTGAAGATTACTATATTCAAAATATTTTCTTTACAGTGTGGTTTTCCATACACTGTGGCGCACTCACTACAGAGAGTGAGTAAGCATGGCACGCTTAGTTATTATTAAGTTATGTAGCAGAATCGCGAGGAAGAGGACGGTATTTATCGGGAGAGTAATTAACGCTAGACCGGACCGGGAGGCAGCCGTAACTCGCAAATATGAATAGATATGATATGAACAACGGTGTAATGTGTTTCTCACAGTCAGATGAGACTCATGACAGCCATGAGGCTCCTCAGTCACAGTTTGTTAGACTAATGTTAGTTGCCCCGAGCTCACAATCAGGTTACAGTTTGGCAACCTTGAAAGGTTAAATAAAGTCAAGCATTATTCTGACGCACATTATTCTTATCCCCAACTCTGTGTTAGGGTTAGTGAAGATGTTGTTATGAACACTGGTTGACTTCTTCTGCCCGAAAATGCAACCTCATCAGGAATTTCATTTGAACAATAATAATGGTCCAACAACATCAGTCCTCCTGAGCCGGGCTATCCAGCCTTTCAGTGGGATGAGCATCCATATTAGTTTTGTTGGAGACGTCTTCTCCGTTTTGCAAAACTCATATTCATTCAGATTCTGGGTTATCTAGCAGTAAGTTTAAACCATTTACATGAATCTGATGAGATACAAGAAAAAAGGGAAACTGGAAAATTTTTCGCAAGATAAACACTCATACTCATTTTGCTTATTACAAACGGAATCCCAATTCTTCCCAATAATATCTCCCAGCTCTAATGAGCCATTTCAAATGGAACCGGGGGTTCCAATCCAAAGCATTCCCAGGTTGGCTTCTATTTCATCCAAATCTCACCCCGTTTTGGGTCAATGTCAGTTGCTTCTCGCATGGGTCGGATGAGTAGTCGACGCTGACACCTGCAAACTGGCTATCGGATCGAGATGCCTTTTGCAGGAAACTGACTCGGACAAGTCTTGCTGTTCTAACACTCTTGAAAACAGCCGTCACTTTAAACATTACCGTCAGTCCTCAGTTGTGAGCTTTCCTTCATGTTGATTAACGGTACAAACAAAATGAACGAGGGTTTAAGGAGGAGCCGGCAGCATGGGGGAAAGAATAGAGCGGAAAGGGGTGGGAGGAAACCCGGTCAGAGACATACCATTCCCCGTATTGAACTTCCACACAAAATCAATCCCGTCAGGTCCAGCAATCCTCTCGAGATCTTCTTCCATCACCCGAAACGAATTGGGCCTCATGAGCAGTTTTGTGCGAGAAAACGTCAACCGACGTCGCTCCCGAAGCCCATTCGACATCTTCTTCAAATCCGCATCCCACGCCCGCTCCCTATATTTATCATGTCTGACCCTGAAGCCATTTCCAAAGCAGCCATAGCCTGTACTCGCCGTGGCGTGCTTGTCCTTGACCAGAAATTCTTTCGCGTGCGTTGCATATTGGAATGTGATCTCCGCAAACCCGGAGTGATGGTGTATCTCAACACTGTATAGCGCACCTTCGCGGATTCTCGCGGTAAGCATGTTCAAGCTATCAAGAGCAAATTTGCCCTCGACGGTTACGATTCCGGCTCTCGCACCCCCTCCTCCCATTCCTCCCATTGTGGCTGAGGGTGGCATGATTTGGCGCGGCATGGCTGGCACCATAGTGAAAATAGGGACCAGCGGGATTATATTGCCCTTGGGTTTCCGTGGGGCCATACCGTGGAGTCCATTAGTTTGACAGGCGGCCTGAGGGGGGGGAGCCGCGGCTGCGATATTTGACCACAGTTTACCCTGCATAGGAGCAGGCTTGGAAACACCCCGATCAATCAGACTCTTCTTATCTGGCTCGCAGACTTCCATCAGAATTTCCCCACATTCGTCGCGACAGTTGTTCGCATCGACGTTGCCAACGGTTCCATTCGCCTTATTCTATATAAGGTTAAGAGGATCTCATAAGCCATACAAGTCTCACCAGCCGGGCAGGCTCTGAAAATTCTTGATATGGGGATAAGGAAAGTACATACTTCTGAGGGATACATCACCATATCAGCATCCGTGAGGTCAAGCATGACTCGCCCAAACTCAGCGATAATGTGCTGAGTATACTTTGATATGCAGTTGGCTGCATGTCTGCGATGAATATTGCGCAGCTGTTCAAGGGGCGAAAACACACAAGTTAACATCAATATTTTTTTTTCAATTTGGTTTTTAGGCTAAAAACTAGGAGAAGTATCCATTCCTAGAGGGAAGCCTGGAGTCATTTATATCTGAAAACCAGAAAAGAAAAGGAAAATACGTACATGTTCAGTAACATCTCTCAGATTTTCTAGAACCACCACCATCACATTATCGATACGCTCGGGCCCCTCAGCCTCCATGACCAAGGCCTGGGCCATTTTGGCGATGACAGTGAGCTGAGCAAAGGTTATCTGCACAAAGTGATTAGTGTGCCGAATAAGGCCTGACAGCTTGTCTTCTAAAATGAGAGAGAAAATGAGAGGGGAGGGAGTGACTAGGACAAACTTGTGTGAGAGGAGAAGATGGTAAGCGAGAGAAAGAAAATAAAAAAGAGGAAGTAAATAAAGTACACAGCTTTGGAATGTGTTAAAACAAAACAAAAAGAATTAAGAATGTTGCAGGGAAGTGAAGTTTCCCATATATGGGGTAACAACACTTCTTCTTGTAAGTGGAGCAGCAGCACACAAGAAATGTGTTCCTCCTACATCTCATTCTCTCTCCTCTACCTGTTGAATAAGCTCATATCTCCCCCCAACTTCCATCCTGCATGTTTTTATCCTCAGGTGAGGGGGGGGAAAATATGAAGAAAAAGAAATATGCAATACCTCGCCCATATTTCTGCTCTAGCAGACAATGACCAGCAGCTTAGAAACTGGGATATACCAGGCCCGGACTTTAGCATCTGCTAAATGTAGCTTGACGGTTGACAGCTCTTCTTCCCTTTGTTTTATCTCTTGAAAGCCAACTACCGTCATAACCCAGGCTTCCGTTTTATTGTTATTTCTCTCTTCTTCTCTTCTTCCTTTGATTCATCTGTTTGTTCATTTGACACTGTCTACATACTAACCGCCTACTAATGGAACTCAAGCTATTGTGGATAGATGTTTCCAAAAAAATCAGAACTGTCCTGTTGCAACTATATCTTTCTTGAGCCCACCGTCTCTTTGATGAAAAAAGAGAACACAAAAGAAACTGGCTGCAAATAAGTGGAAATGTCTGTTTGCTAGATGTAGAGGTAAGGAGCTATATCAAGTGAAAAAAAAATAATTCATATCTGTTAAAATTTTCCTTGAAGTAAGTTCAGTGTATATTCCACTTTTCCCCGAACAGGTATGCATGCACCTACAATCATCTAGGAGGAGCAATAATGAAACTCAGAAAGGCAAAAAATCGAAGACACCAATATCCCGTCTTAACCAACCGCGAAGAAAAGAAAGACACAAAGAAAAAATTTTCCACTTAAATCAACCAACCAAAGTAAAAGCAGCCAGTCAGTCGGTTCATCACCTACGTCCCACCCACCAATCTCCTCCGCAGCTCCTTCGCCATGGCCTTCCGCGTATCCTCCGTTCTGGACGCCGCTTCTCTATTCTCCTGCGCCCTTCGAACCAAATATCGCGCGCACTCACTCACTGTGCCCCACACAAGGTACTTGTATGCCTTAGGCGCCTCCACCTCCACCATTACCCCTTCAGCCTGCTGCTCGCGAACAGCCTTCGCCGCGTGCACCAGCTCGCAGCTGATATCATCAGCCATACCTGATAGTTGCCCATAGGCCAGTTCAATCTGGTGCGAACCCGTTGTGCGGTGCTGCTGATTTTCGAAGCTTCCTAGCCCGTTCGACGGAGACGCGGTTGTGTGAGGCGAGGACGAGATTGACTTTGGAGAATGGAGGGTGGCCAGTGGATGTGGTCCTGCCTGTGGATGTGGATGGGGATGGGGATGGGGATGGGGATGGGGATGGGGATGGGGATGGGGATGGGGATGGGGATGGGGATGGGGATGGGGGTGGGGGTGAAGGGGAATGCGGCTTGAGGACGTCACCGTACTCTCGTTTAATCAGTGACTCGGCGATGCCGTCGTATGTATTATCGGTTTCTACCTTTGTATCCCAGATTAAATGGCGCGGCTCGGTGCCTAGATATGCGCCCCGGACGAGCTTGACGCCCAGAACGAATCCCTCCGCCTCTGCGATGGCGATATGCCGTGAGAGAGTTGCCGGGGTAGAACGGAGATATGCCTGATATGTCCCATACACCACAGCTCGCTGGTCCGGCCCCTTGTTGTACATTCGCTGGAATTCGATAGTCCAGTCGTCAATGGCAGGTTGGACAGCTTGTTGCTCAGCATCAATCAACAATCTGACATTGCGGGCTTTAGCCCGCTCACAGATCTCAATTATCGCTTCCTTGAGGGCCGGCGATGGTGCTGATCTGCGGAGCAGTTGCTGGACTGATCCTTTCCCGGCTCCCGTGAATTTTAGGGCCACGAAATCTCCATCGTCTGCTAAATCGACAGTGGCAAGGGTCCCGTCTTTCCAAGCTGTTATATCGGCGATGGCTTGAGCCTTGCTCTCTGCTCCTCCAGCTGCATCGCTAGCTGTACCAAGCGCACGGATCTCACTCTCATTCATCACAATTTCCCGTGCATACCCCAATATGACGCCTGAGTATCCGAGCTCCTTTAATTTTTGGATGTTCACCTTGACCTGGGCCGGTGTCTCTCCTGCACAGAACTGAGCGTACAGCGTCTGCTCCATGATCAGCTTCAATACAGGGTTACGATCAGGATTTAGGAAGGTAGACTCGGGGTTTGCCACGACTGACAGGAAAGCCAAAGATGGGGAGAAGAGAAGAGGCGAAGACGAGATGGTGGTGACTAAGAGGGATCGCATAATCGTGGACAAGGGCAAGATCGAAAGCGGAGGGGATGTTGGCGCGTTTGTAAAGGGTATTGATGAATTTAGGGTAGCATATGGTCTCGTCGACCCAGGAGCTGCCGATGGCCCTCCAGCTGCGGGCAGTGGGGGCTCAGACTGCTGTGCCGGGCCATGGTGAGAGTATCTAACCCTTTGATGGTACAACAATGCAGGAGGCCTAACAGCAGTCTGATGCCTAGGGTAAACGAAACAGCCGCTCGCGGTTTTGAAAGCGGCTTGTCTTCGCATTTCGTGTCCTTCTGTCGATACACACCTCTTTTGCTCCCCAGGTACCCTACGAAATGCTTGAACTATATCCCAAAAACAACCCACTCTCTCATAAACGCTGTGGGTGATCAAGCGCTATGGCGTTATATGCAAAAAATATAATTTACCTTAAGCGCGGAATAAAGGGGAACAGCCAAAGCAAAATAACCCTTCACGTCAGCAACAGCAATATTCCTCGAGAGGTTCAGATGTATGGGCAGGGGGGAACACGTAATATATATATAATATGAAAAATAAGAGCAAGTTTGTTGCACACTTATTTAGGGGGATTCAGTAGAAAATAGGGCTTAATATGGTGCCAACAAACAACATAGAAAACCCCATCACACTATGCTATTGGAGTTTTTACTCCCTCCTCGGTCGCTATGCTGCTTGGGGTGCATTGTACAATAGTTACTCCAAGACGGAGAGCGTGGGAGCAGCGAGCAAGTTGAGGAACGAACATGCCAGAATGAACTGGATATTCCCCAAACGTGGGGAGGTCGTCGGGGCAGGGGAAGGTAAGGCTAACCCCGGATACTCCAGGATAGAGTCGACAGAGGTTGAAGTAAAGTGTTAAGTAATAGTTACGCAAGCTAGTGCTGGCAACAACCGTTTCCCGGACTCCATTAATGTATCATTGGCAGCCTGGGACTGGTGAGACTGGTGAGACTGGTGCTGGTGCTGGTGGAGGCAGACGGATTTTTTCTTATTCTTTTTGGCATTGGGCCATCAGGATCTTTGGTGCTCGTTCTCCTTCGCCTCGTGTCAGATGGGGCTTGTTGGCCAACGTACCGCGCTGTTCCGAGTGTAAGCAGGTGCAAGCAGAGGAGAACAGGAGAGAAGAGATACGAAGAGATAACTACAATACAGTGCGGAGAGTTTTGCTGCTGGCTCTGTGGTGGGTGGGGTGGGGGTGGTTCACCGGGTGGGTGGAGAGGGGGTCCGGTCCAGACTGACTGCCGAATTGGGGAGGGAGTGTTCTAGAGTGGCAAAGAAGCATTCATTCATTTTAACTATCATTCTTTCCCAGCACGCGAGGGCGAGGGGGGGGCAAAACCTAAAAATATGACCATTTTATGATCTAATTCGGGATCATAAGCGGATTGACCAAACGTTTTAGGAATTCCGCGCCAAGTCATCCGAATGCGGGGAAGTTCATATAGATTCAAACATAGTGGGAAAATAAAGGATGGAAACGGTGAAAAAGTAGCGTACAAGACCTTCAGAGCCACAAGTTTGGCCATTCTGGGTGGTCCGAAATAATATTGAACAGCAGAGTTTCCATAATCACACAGAATAATAGAAGAAAGCAAATAAGAAGAAATGAAGTGACAACAAAGCAAGCGCAAGCTCAACGACAGTACAACTACTGTACTATACTGCAACCCAATTCAGAAACTCTTCAAAGTGTATATACATAATAATAAACAGGAGGAAATCCAAAATTCAAGACGCTACATGTTTTCTTTGCCCTACACACAGAGACCGCATGTGTCGAAATTAAAACAAATCCTATCTTTAAAACTCGCAAGCTCTCAAGATAACGGCGGGAAATTCCTCACAAAGCTGCGCAACATCAGTAATAACGCTTTTCAAAAGCTAAATACAAAGCAATAAATGTTTGTCGGGGAGCCTTTCAAAGTTCCGAGTGGAGAAACGGTCGACCCAGGCAAGGCGGGGCGCGAGAGCGGAGAGGGGAAGAACGGGGCGGGCAAAGAGGAAAAGGAAAAGGGAAAAAACTCACTGCGCGGGGCACTCATATCCACCGGGATTTCTGTCTAGATATAGCTGGTGATAATCCTCGGCTTCCCACCATTTGCCTGCCGGAACAACGAGGGTCGTCACGGACCGCTTCCACCACTCCTTAGCCACTTTCTCCTTGATCTCCTCGGCAATCTTTTGCTGCTCCTCGCTGTGTGTGAATACCGCGCTCCGGTATTGTGTTCCTATATCTCCACCTTGTCGATTCAGCGTGGTGGGGTCATGCATGCGGTAGAAGAATTCGAGGAGTTGGCGATATGTAACAATGGACGGATCGAAAATTATTCGTAGAGCTTCAGCGTCTGAGTGGGAGAAATATGTTAGAGGGAGTAGAGTAGGATTTAGAGCAGAGCGGGTCTTGCTCTTAGAGCGTAGGGAGGGGGGAACGAAGGTGCTTGGTTATAAGACATACGGCCGGTGTCCCCTGAACAAACACTCTTATAAGTCGGATGCGTTGTATCCCCACCGCAATATCCAACTTTAGCATCCAAAAGTCCTTTTCCATTGCCGAACTGTTTGCGGTAGAGATGCTCTACGCCCCAGAAGCAACCGGCAGCAACCGTGGCCTCCTGGGCATTTTCAGGAAAACCCCGGGCTGCAAGGGATTCTGGAGTCAATTGGAGAGAGGGGGTGGTGGTGAAGTGGCGCATTAATCGTGAGAAGAATGGCGGCATGATGGATGAGAACGGGAGGGCCATTGGCGAGAGAGAGTATGTGATGGGCGGAAACAGAGCTGATCAGTGGTTGTAATAATTTTCAATATTAAGGAACTGCTGGATATTAAACGTGAAGAATAGCAAGGCGAATAGGCGATGAATCTTGCTCATCAGATTACTCCACTCCCGCAGCGGCGTCATCCTAAAGCCAATTTACTAATCAGCCCAGAGATTCCAAATCGCAACTCCCGCTCCTGCGTATAATAACTAGATCGCACGAGATAAATATAAAACTATTATTAGGTATTATTAATTTAACTATAGGTAATCTAAGCAAATATTTTTTTCCGGGGTATACCTTACTTAACTCGGTAGATACACTATAGAGTCTCTATACGCTATGTTCATCATCTGGCTCTGGCGAAAAACATTCCAAAAAAAATCCATTTGGCCCAAATTTCAATATTATGGCTGCCGTAGTTACTGGCCGAGTTGCGTTTGTAGTGTTAGCGATTGGCGAAATGTTATGATCTTCTCCTTTGCTCGTCCTCTTACATATTTTCACTTGTTGAGAATTCGTATTAATTAATTAGTTAGCCTTTAAATTAACACCCCGAATTGCCACTCGCCAACACTACTCTCAACAACCTATGGCTGGTAAAAATTAGACAAATTGATAAAATAAAAAGTATAAATCACTCAACTTTTCTACAGATTCGTTGATGCTTGCGTTGTTGCTCAAGCCCCACTGTTTTGGACTATTTTAACTGTAGAAGTGATTTTATATTTCTCATGCTCAGATCATCATAGTAACCTTCCCGCAGGCGTATTTTGGATGAGCAAGCCTTTCGGTCACTGTAGAATCAGGGGCATGGGGTGTAACTCAAATGCAGATAATCCGTAAACTGATCGCAATCATCAAGGTTGTCTTGGGCCTTTTTTATTCCTTTCACGCCTCGTTCCCGAAGACAGTTCAAAAACACCGAATGAGGAGGTTCCTAAACATGGGCTGGAAATGAAGGCGGGCGGAAATTAGCTCTTCCTTAATGAGAGAAAAAAAAATTTCCCGAGCTCGTTACCAGTCAGTTGCAAGTGTTCCTTACACCAAACGATTAGTGATGACGAAGATGTGAAATACTACATGCACATGATTGGAATTAAAAAGTCCGAATCAATCTGATAACTAGTGTTTAACTACATATCCTGAACCGCGTGCTGGCAGCCTACCCTAGTTGGCATAGCGGAACTCAGACAAATGGCTAATAGAAGTCGTAGATTTTTGGGGCATCTACAATGGCAGCTCTGTTTTAACTCGAGAGTTCAACGATGAGAACGCAGGAAGAGACGAGATATATGGAACTTGGCTCGATGCTTTTCTTCATATTTGAGTTAACTAACCCCCACATAGGATTGAGTCATGGTTGGCTCAACGCCTGCTAGTGTTCTCCACATGGAGCTCCGGAACCTTGAGCTTAAATGGACTTCAAAATTTCTCGGAATTACTTGCATGCATCCCACAGTCACAGCTTGCCGTATCTTGAGGTTTCGTTTCATTGGAGAGCTACATATGTCTCACTTCAGTGAGTTGCGTTCAATCTTGAGATCCTCGGGCGGAGAAACTGCAGTTTGTTGTTTGTTACGTGTTAAAGAAGCAAAATGGCTCTTGAAATTTTGCTGGATGTGGATCTAGTTGATTTATCCATGTACCGACACATCAACAGGTATCAAGTCATGAGCACAAAGCGTAGATCCACAGTCTCAAACGCAATTCTCCTTGCTGCAAATAGCTCAAACGGACACTGACATTGGACGACTAGAAGGCGTGGAAACGGGAACAAACAATCGGCAGACTCGTCACTCAAACACAAAGTAGGGAAAGAATAAAGAAGGGTAGATAGGCGCCATTTGGATATATTGAACACGGGCGGCATGGAAGAAACAAAATAAACTAAAAGAAGATACCTAAATTACATACAATTCAAGGGAAAGAAGAAATCGTGATAGGAAGCCCAAGCCGATCCTTTGCACCCAAACACCCACTTATAGCCAGCCCACGAGCGCCAAAAATTAAAAAAAGGATCTATATTAAAATTATAACCACACAGAACTACCTCCACGAACCTTTCGCCCCGGGCTGTAAGCTACCCCGCAACGATCCGCCGCCAGAAATCGTGGCCGAGCTAAGCCGGATCCCTTCTCGGGACCCAAGGCCTATCTGTTTCGCATCCCCGAACGTCGTCCGTCGGTGGCCATTTACTTTCATAATTGGTACGGTCCTCGGGCTCAAAACGCTAATCTTCGAATCATGTTCCTTTTCGCTTTTCACCATCCGTCTTGCTTGGGATGCCGAGAACATGCTGCTGTTTTCATTGGTGGGGCTTGCGCTCGTGGCGGCTGTCGGGCTTCGTCGTCTTTGGGTCCTATTTACTCCAGCCATCGAAGCCCGATGTCCTCCATGGTGGGTTCCGGAAATGCGTCTCATCGCCGAGTGTATCGTCATGGCGTCACTTTTGTCCATTTTCCACCCATCTTCGTTATCTGATGATGACCCGCTGACATTGCTTTTTGTGTTATCATCAGCCTCAGAATGGTCAAGGGATCTGCGATTTAGGAAACTACTATTTTCAATACCACGTAATGGAGACAGTTCGCCGTCCGACGCTAAGGGGAGCCTGGGCAACGCCGAGGGAACTGGGGATCCGTTTGGTTTCTTGGATAAGAAACCGGCTTTGAAACGGCTATTCTTCTGGATGGTGAGCGAGGTAGGAGGGCTGCAGATTGGTGATGACTCCCTCGAGCCGTTTGAGGTTCGACGGGGAATGGCGGATGCCACTAAATGCATTGGTGGCAATCGTGGCTCCGCTGAGGGCGTATTAGCGGGTGATTCCGCTGTCTTTTGTGGAGTCTTCTCGAATTCCGCAAGGGTTCCTTCCTCTACATCGTCCTTCCACCTCACGCTCCGCTTGTTGCTCTTCGTCTGAAGCTTCCTTGGCGTGAAATTGATACCCTTCTTTGGCCCTATTTTTCTTCTTCTAGGGGAAGGCTTGGCTGGGGATGGAGTTACATGAGGTGCTATAGATATAGCCGCGTTAATAGGTTTTGGTAATGATGCGGCCCTTCCCATACTGTATTGCTTTCGGCGCTTAGGCGTACCAGCCTTGTTTGGCGGGAAAACTTCGACAGGTGGCGCGCCTCCATCGGGTATAGCGACGTGGGCCGTTGCGGTTGTGCTAGACCTAAGGAGCTTTCCAAGGATTACCTTGCCAGTCGCAACTGCGTCCTCCTCGCGAAGCTGCATAATGTCCTCAATAGCAGAAACAGTCTCGAAATTTGTTTGCAGCAACATCTGGATCATGGACAAATCACCACCTTTCTCCTGCTCGGCGATTGCGGCTAATGCTTCCCTTTCTGCATTGGACTTGAGTAACTCTGCTTCTCGGGTAAGAGTGGCAGTGTCGACACTATCCGCGATTTCAAGTTCTTGGAGCTGTTTAATACCAATGTCCAGTGCAGAATTGATGCCTCGATCCCAGCTGCTTCTCGCGAGTTTCTGATGATAATGCTGCCTGCTGCCCTCGAGCTCGATGAGTATTCCTTGCGCACTCTTCCGAATGGCCTGGAGGTTTGACAAAGCGGATTCATTTTCTGTAGCATCGCACACACTGTCGAATGCAGCAATCCAGGCTGAAAGAATTGAGATACGACGGCTGACCTGCCTTAAGCGAAGCATGCAATTGACCCTCTCTTCCCTTTCGGAAGCTGAATGTTCATATGCACTACGCAGACGAACCACTCCTTCACGCACCACTATTTCCTTTTTCTCAGCCTGTTTCTTAAACTTCGCGAATGCAATGGTCTCATAATCCTTCTGCTGTTGCTGCAGCTCTTTAATCAACGCCATTTGCTCATCAATTTTAACAAGGAAATCTTTGACATGGCGATTCACGTTATAAACATTTCTGGTAACTTTCGTTTGGATGTTCTTTGCCCGGTTCGCATATCGAAGGGTGTTTTGGGTTTCGTCAAAGTGTTGGCTGGACGGACTGACACAGACAATCATTACCGTCTTACAATTTCCTCCCAATGAGAATTTTAGGAGGCGGGTGAGCTTCGAATTTCGGTAAGGGACATGATTACGCTTCCTAGGGTCGCATAGCGCATTTATGCAATTGCCTAGAGCCAGCAAAGATTTGTTGATATTGGCGCCTTCGATCAGCCTCTCTCCTCTATTTTTTGTTGCACTCGCCCGCTCACTTCCTGCCAGGTCGATAATGCTCAATGTTGCCATCGTGTGTGGCTCGTTGATATCCGCGTTACGGTCCTTTTGCACTACGTTAATTTGAAGAACCGCGTGAGACCGAGATGATGTTGCGTTTGCTTCTGTGGGGGACATTGTTCGCGATTCATTTCCCCTCACAATCATGTCCATCACTTCCTGAACGTTCTGCGGGTGATGGCTGGAAAGTCCGGCAACAGAAACTGTTTGGTTTGCATCTTCTCGGAGCATGAGACCACCCTTGATAGTATTGGTGGTGCTGAGCAAGTCGCGGATGGTCTCGTTGTAGATTTCCAAATATGACAATGATATCTCCGTGACTTTTTCATCTGTTCTGTCCGCAATCCGCTCGAAGAGTTCTTGCATGGTAAGGAAAATAATACCCGGCTGTTGAGCAGTTCCCGTGATCGTGTGGGTTTTTCCACAACCCGTCGCGCCGTATGCAAACACGGTTGCATTGTAGCCATCCAACACGCTGTCTAGAAGGCTTCGAGTTGTTGCTTCATACACATCCTCTTGGGTTGTGTTTTCGTCGAAAACTCTATCGAACATAAAGGTCTGGTCCTTCACACGTTTTCCGTTCGGGACAACGGATCTGGAAAATCGATGTACTGGGTTGTCCTCTGGTGGGTCAAAAACCCTGAATGACGAAAGTCAGGAGCTATTCGCAACCGTAACTGGGGGGCGGCGCTTTACTCACAAGCACTTGTCATCCATGACCTTTATTACAGGTCGAATGCCTTTCTGTATCAGTTTCGGGGTTGGAACTGCAGCCAAGGACCCGTCCCCTAGGAAGAGCATTGAATCATCACATTTTGTAAGTTGTGCAGCTTCTCGTATCGTAAACGGCCTGACTCGAACGGTCACTGAAATAGAGGACGCACCACTCGAGGCCGCCATCAGGGATAGGTTGTATGAACAGTTGCTGTCGTCTGAGAATGTTGTGTAAACTGGTGAAGTATGTATGCAATGAAGTGAAAACGCAGGAAAGATAAAATAGATAAAAAACAAAAACAAGCTAAAGGATATCCCCGAATGGATGCCGGGAGAAGGGAAAATCTAGCTCTGTTGAAGGTTAATAGTATTGTCGACGGGGGAACTTTCAGCCCATTCATTGGAAGGTCTGTCTGTCTGCCGCTCGTCAAGCCCGTCAGGGCATTATTTACGGGTTCTGTTGATGCGATGCGACGGGTGAAAATAGTTGATCCGACGCCGGTTGCCATGGCAGCCGTGCCTGCGTGGAGATTGGGGAGAAGTGTGTGAATTTAAGTGTTTTGCACCCCAATTTAGTACTTACCGTAAATGCACACGCACTTCAGCTTGTCCTACAGCGTACATTATTGGTGCAGCGGTCAGAAAGTAGAAAGTATCAATCCGTACGAAATTAGCCAGCTAGAGTTCATGCCCATTCTGCCCATGGCATTCCGCATCATTTGGCATCGTAACCCTGCTTGTCAACGTAGATATACAGCGTAGGGACCTCGGTATATCTGGTTGGTACACATGAAGCCAATGTGTCTCTGGCTATTGTGAACTGACTATGAATTCTTAAAGCATGGAAAACCCGACGGCTAACCCGCAACTAGCTCATTGTAAGCGCATGGGTATGGAATCGTACTACGTATATGTGCACTTTAAAATGTTTTTGCTCTGTTTGTAACAGTACAAATAAGGGGTTAAACCATGTATCAACCTCGTCAGATAAAACAATTTACCAGCAAAATCTAGGTAGTTTAGGCCCCAAAGAGATGAGTATTAAACAGATATGGCCAACCCCTAACTCCATACTCCATTGAAATTTACCCCAGAATGTCAGCATCATTCATCATCTTCAGCGTCGTATTTTGCAATCATAACGTCCCAGCCAGGGTCATCAAACCCAATCCCTAGTTCATCTTCATCCTGGCCCTCAACTGGTTTGCGGAATCTGAACGCTATCGCTTGAGAATCCTTGAGCCCTGCCTCTTCGGGGCCTGTGATGGCTGTCCTTCGACCCCGCAAAGGCTGCTTCTGCTTCCCGTTCGCTGATTCTTCCGTCGTCGGTCTCAACTTTTTCCATCCTTTTTCCAAGTTGTTTCTGTCAAGAGGTACACCAAACTCGATTTCAGCTGGATTTTCAGGAACCGATTGGCCGTTGATTTCAGTAATATTGCGAACTTTGAGAGCCTTCAGGATTTCCTCTTTTATGGAATCAAATGATTGGGTGGGCGATACAAGGAGAAGGATTGTGACATTGTGGTTTTTGAACCTGAGAGTCCATTTGAGCGAATTAGGTTCACTCTTAGGCGGTGTTAGTAAGAATGCAATACCACATACAACAAAGGAAATAATTGCACTCACCATTTCGAGTATAATAACCTGCTTAACTCTCAGGCCAGGCTCAAGTCGTGGGGAGTTAGCGATTGTTCGATAATGAATTCCCATTTGTCGCGTGTTTGATCCCTGGGTCGCTCGCCTCTGCCGCCCAATCGGGGCTAGCCTGGAAAGCCCAAGCTAATAAACTTCCAAGTTCAACGAAATCCTGAGCTGCATCCGAAACGACGCCGGGCCTATGTTTGATATCAATTTGGCCAAAGTCACCTAATACAATTCCATTTACGCCTTAATATCCTTTCTCTGCTCTACACAATCCCTGAGGACGTATAGCCATGGGATCCAAACAGGATTCATTGCCTCCAATGGACGGGGATCAACCTCTGAGCCCCATGTTCGGCCATACCAATGCCTCCCCTCCGCGCCTCGGCATCGATCCAATCGTCCGCCTACCAATTACGATGGGCGCTGCGTTCACTGCCGGCATGGTTTTAGGAGCTGGCCATGGTAGCACAAGGGCGGCATTTCGATACCGTGCTGAGAACGCTCATCGACTACCAACCACAACCATGGGCTGGTACCATTATCACAGAAGCAAGAACTACAAATCCCTGGTTGGGGGTGTAAAGGATGGAATGAAAATGGGCATGAAGCTTGGGGCTGGCGCATTTACGTTTTGCTTGTTTGAGGAAACAGTTGACCACGCACGTCACGGCCGACGGGATTTCCTTTCTACGGTGACTGCCGGTCTTACTTTCTCTGGCCTTTATAGCTTGCTTGGTATGTTATCATTGCATCTTTTGTCATGGATCATTCACATTCCCGTGCTTGCGATATGTGTTTATCGAGTTTTATCGATCGTTCTTTGCTAACCAAGAATGTATAGCTCATCACGATGTATATACAGCTGCGCGAACGGCGAAGCTTGGTCTGACATTGAGTCTCGCCTATGGATTGATCCAGGATGCTCTCGCGACGATGAAAGGAAATCGACCCGATTATGTCGATTTTATGTACCGGAAATTTCGGCCAGGGAATGAAGGTGTTGATGCCGCTTAGCCTGGCTTCTTTGGCTATCCTTGTGAAAGGTCGCTGAAAGCGTATTCGAAGCTAGAGGTGCTCCGACGGGGTCGAACCATATAAAATCGGGAAGCTTTTCCCCGCGTGGTCATGACGGTATACTTTACACAGCACGATATGGCGCTGGTTTTGGGACCCGATACTCTCCTCTTCGATCAACTCAACATTGAGCATCGCAAAAGGCTACTGCAGCCTGGGGTATTATTATGTCAAGCACATTCATCCATTAAAGAACTATTATGACTTTTGTAGTATGGCCACAAAGTGCTACCAAAAAATCCTGAGTCGACCACGGCCATCGAGCGGCATGTCAGTTTCGCTCCGCTATCGGGTTATACCCCTCGATCAAGCCGCAACCCGGCCGAAGGACGGTATCCTGCCGACTCTACCGACTGTCCTTGACCCAGCCCTCATGACAGGGTTCCCACTCAAGTACAGCAAATTTGCGATACCGTTGACTCACCCCCAGGCAATCACTCTGGCTAGCGCGTAGCTAGTGAAACTGATAGAAAGTCCCACTCTAGGGATAGTATCGCCGGTGAATCCGAACGTTAACCACCAAACTGCGTATCATGATGATCGTGGAACATCCCTATCACAAATGTTAGATGGCTATACAAGTGTTGGGCTAACCATGTTCTCCGCGATGATCATAATTGGAAATTTCTATTCGAGGCACCCAATCCTACCGCGCCGATCAACCCTAGGCCAAATTTCCCCCACTATATGATGTCTCCGAGATTTGTAAAATGCAGGCCTCCTAGTACGAGAGATAACTTCACCAAATTGGGCTACCGGCTCTCTGCAAGGCATGGCACAAAATGACCATATAGCTTTACACGCCCTACTGGGTAATGGCTGATATTTTGTTACACTTCCGCTCAAAGTCAAGTCTAGATTGCGAAGGTATAGCCACTCTACCCACGATAGATTGCTGACTTAGTTTCTGTATCTGATAGTATCTGATATTCAATTCTTTTTGGTTTTTTGCTTCAGCCTCAAAATTTATTTAATTTCCAAAATCTCCTGTTTCTTTAAATGAGCTTTATTTCGTGCCAACTTGTAAACAGACTCGGTACATTCCAGCTGTCTTCCTTGTCCCAACCGTCGTCGTTTCCAAGCTAAGATAATCGAGTATTTACACTTAGGAACGTGGCTACAGGACAGGCTGGTATCAATGCCCAAGAATCCGTTTGATCAGATAACATTATCAGGCCCGCCAGCATTGGCCTCATACAGATATTTCTAGGCTACCGGTGTCTGCTAGTCAACTTGTTGTTGAATGTAAAGATAAATATCGATGGGCGCCGCAGGTAGTGGCTGCCTCTGAGGCAGAAAGATCGGTGTGGACTCCGGTCGAGTCCAATGTCAAATGGGTTCGGGTATCATCACAGTTACGGAGCTTATACTCAAATGGCCAGCTTATGTGGACGGCAGGTTATGACTAGACTTGAGCTTTCTTGTGATAGTAATGGTGAATGAATGAGCTCCTCTCAAACCAATCAGCAAAGGTACGGGCAATTCTTTCACTCATCCAGATGCTCAATAAAAATAAACCGTTCGCCAGCCTGCCAGCTAGGACCACGTTTCTAAAGAGATTTGATATACTTTTGAAAGATAGCTGTCCGTGTGCTTTTCAAGATCCGACCGGCTAAGAAGGGAGAAGAAGGCGATGAGATACATGCGAGACCCATGTGTGGAGTATATAATAGAGGAATGAACATGGATTCGATGGTTTGAGAAAGCAAGCAGGAAGGCTTGAGAAGTTGAAAAGGGCTGTTGTGGTACAGTGGCATCGAAACAACTACGGTGAAGTGTCGATAGCGCTTGTACGGTGTTCAGTAAATAGAAATGAGCCGTTCGGGACAGACCAATTAGTTAGGAGTCACTGGAAAGCATATTCTTACGCTGAGGCGTGTGACGGCTGATTGACCAACAAAGTACGAAGCATTGTTCGTTCTGTTAAATCACTTATTTATGGCTGAGGTTCGATCAGTCAGCTATTAATAGTTGTGCACCCTGCTGCGGGCGTCTGATCCTCCTCACCCTCACAATTCTTACATTTGGCAGCTCACCTGATCGATCTCAGTTTTAGTCTCGATTGACGGACCCTGGCCTTGCAGCAGGAGCTGGGGTGGAACGTAATCTTAAATAACTGGAAATATGTCGGACACACCGGTACAGTCACAGCGATCTTGACGACGGGTTAAATAAACAAGACAATCACAGTAGCTGCTCGGTGAAACGGGAAGAGCATGGAACGACACCAACAGCACAGCCAGGTAAATATGAATTTAACAGTCACCATCGTCACGTTCGTTTCTAGTGGGCCTAAATAGCAGAACAACTGACAATTTTGACAGCCGCCTCCATTTTCAATTCAGCTTCTGGCGAGCGGATTAGACGACTCAAGCATCACAGCTGAGAACAGAAATGACAAGCTCTGGGCCGTCTTCCCTGCGTCTTACCGCACTGGCGCTGATGACCTTGCTGCCCCGAGCCATGATTACATGGCCTGTATCGAAAAGGAGCTCGATGTGCATAGGCTGAATAGAATCTTTCAATGGCTGTGGGTGGTGGGCCGACCCATGCCGCCCCGACCTCTCCACTGCCAGCTCCTGCTTGGACGCGAAATACTCGTCACAGAACAGATGGACATGCATCTCGTCTGGACGGAGGGTCGGGTATACCTCAAACCCATCCCACGCTTCCTACTTGAACCCCATTTCTGGACTGAATATCTTTCCTGCCGGGACGGTTGCAGCTGCCTTTATCATGAGAGTGCCGTTGGTTCACTAGGGAGCGCCCGGGAGTGCTCCCATCGAAAGCTGCGGAAGTCTGCACTTGGATTCTTGTACACATATGCCGCACTGATCTCTCATGAGAGTGACTTTCATATTGCAAAGGACAAACGACTGCTCCCAGCCGACGAGAAGCACTTGACGTGGCAAGGGTGGAGGACTTTTGTTGAGCAACTCGACACGGCGTGCATCTACCCGAACATTAGCCTGCGATTCATTTACGGTGAGCTTCGCCTCAGCCGTCTGAATAACATATACCGTTTCACACAGCGCCCGTTGCTGGGTGGTTATACGAGACACTGGCACGAATACAAGACCTTCTTTCGGGACAATTTCACTTTGCTAGCATCTGCAACAGTATACATTGCTATCGTCCTCACTGCCATGCAAGTCGGATTGGAGACAAAAGGGCTTAGCGACAGCGCTTCGTTTCAGTCGGCATCATACGGTTTCACTGTTTTTTCCATTCTGGGGCCACTTGCAGCCACAGGCTGTATCCTCTTCTCGTTTTTCTATTTATTTGTGAACAATTTGGTGGCAGCTCTAGCTTACGAGAAAAAAAGGTTTCATCACATCAACGTCAGCTCCGGTGGACCGTAAGGTTCCTCGTGGCCAGGAGGTTGCTAGCACAAGTCGCAATCTTTTACGATGGTAGAATTCACTAAAGCCATCTGAGAGTTAAATTATAGGCGTGGGTATGCCGGAACTCAGGGGATGTACTAGCTAACTAGATTTAATATTTGCGATATTATCCGTTTTGTTCTCTTGAAGCAGCAATGAAGTATAATAAATACCCTTAAAACGTTTCTTGAAAGTTAGCGTGCTCTTTTAAGTTGAAATATAATTGAGGCGAGAACTCAGTCAGTACTGGGGCGAGTGGAGAGCGTGCGCATTACTCCTGTTGGGGGTGCGGATAACCATGCCTAGCCAGCAACCGTTCCCCGCGAAACGGATGCCAAGCCTGAAGCTCTTTGGCGGCTCCACCCTTTCCCTCTCGCTTCTTCAGCGCCGTTCGCTGGGCTCGCCACCCCTCACCCCGGCCCTCGTCCCCTCTCATGCCGTTTCGTTTGCTTCTCTTCGGCTTCAGGTCTGGCTCTTAGGTTTTATATTGAAATTAGTTTGCTTGGAACTTGACCCTGGTTGTGGTGGCTGCATCTCTTTCCAAAAAATTTTAAGGTCCCCACGGTTTTATGAACGCTTCCCTGCATCCGCTCCGACCATTATTACTACCTATTGCTGCTTTGATAGTATGGTTTAGAGCTTCATTCAGCCCAACCGCCGGATTCGATCAGATATATCTATACCTTCTTCGGTAAGCTACCCGTGGACATTTAAGCTCGAATGCTACTGACAAAGCTCTTGGACAGCACTGCTGTGACCATCGTCGTACCATTTTGAATGCGCTAGATATGCTAATTACTCTTTGAACTTTTGCACAGGAATAATATTATTTAATATTAGTTAATTCGCGCCTTCTCATCCCCTCTCTATTGATAATATCAAAAACCGAAAACCTGCAAGAAGAAGAGGCAAAGAGAAAGAGGGGAAAAAATCGGTACTGCATGCTTGCGACAGAATAGTGAATCAATCATAATGTGTCTCCCTCTTGCATAGCCATCCTGCATATAAGGTCTCAGTCGAGTCCACAAGTACAAGGAACGATGAGGCGACATAGTAGAGGGAGCGGCGGACCTGCTGTTGTAAGCAAATCCGCCGCTCTGGGCTCCGATCCAATGTCTCTCATACGAACTTTCAATTCAGAAACAAACCCATCTCGGCCCGTACGTCCCTCTCCCCTAGCTTCGTCGCAGATACAAGGAATGCCTCTCGATCTAATCGACCGAATACGTTCATTTCCTCTGTTTCAATCGACACCAGAATCATTCCTCGCTGAAATTGGCCTGCACCTGCGTCCGCAACTAAACTCCACGAACGATTACATTTTAACAGAGGGAGATGAGGCAAAGGCAATGTATTGGCTGGTTCGTGGAGCGGTTGTAGTCACCTCGCGGGACGGTGAAAGTGTGTATGCGGAGCTGAAGCCCGGTGCCTTCTTCGGAGAAATTGGAGTGCTAATGGACCGGCCTCGCACTGCCACCATAATTGCCCGCACCCGATGTTTACTTGTCGTGCTGACAAAGGATGATTTTAAAAAGATTCTTCCCCGCTTTCCAGAGGTAGAACAGACCATTAGAGAGGAAGCTGAGGAGAGGTTATTGATCTTGGAAAGGAAGAAGAAGGAGCCACTAATGCAAAATGATCCTCTCGGGACCCATAGGCGGGTGACAAAGAGAGTTCGCGATTCCTTTTCTGGAAGCTTCAGTTTTGACGAGGACGGCCACTGTTCGAGTAATATCAGCAAAAAACGCAAATCTCCTAGTCCTGGTTTAGCTGAGAATTCGAGTTCAAGCGCCTTAGCCAATGGGCTGGTCAATGTTCGATTATTGTTAAAAGAGCTACCTTTATTTGCCGGTCTCCCGTCCAATATTCTCCATTTTCTTGGCCTCAATGCGCACCCGCGAACATATCAACCTTTCACAGATATAATACGACAAGATTCGCAGGGACGCGAGATATATTTTATCGTACGTGGAGAGGTGGAGGTTCTAAATGAGCATCCAGATGGGCGTGGAGCGCGTCGGGGCACGGACGCTGAGGGCCGGCGTGAGGTCCAGGTCAAGGCTCGACTAAAGGCTGGACAGTATTTCGGGGAAGTTGTGAGCCTATCACTGGCTCCTCGCAGGACTGCCACGGTTCGCACGGTCACGTCTGTTGAATGTTTAATGATAAGCGCGGAGGTGCTCTCGGAATTTTGGGATCGATGTCCTCCCCGTATCCGGGAACAGATCGAACGCACAGCTCGGAAGCGCTTGGTCACTACGGACGGTGACGTCGAGATGGAGGATGTTGCTGCTGATGCAGTGCCTCCAATGGATGAACTCGTAATTAACGAGAACTTCCATGGCTCGGTTAGGAGGCAGTCAATGCCTCTACTCACGCTCACTGAAACAGAACTCGACAGTCCGCACAAGTCAACACGAATAGAAGATCGACCTATCCTAAAGCCCTCTGACCCTGACCCCTTCCTAATTATCGGCTTGGATAATGTACGATCTCGGTCTCGACGTGGCTCTCTTGCGCCAATCGTGCCTGATGGATCTTCGCTACCTCAAGATCAGCGACAGCAGTCTCCGGTGAGGCCTCAGTCCGGCGCAGCGTCCCCGCCAAAACCAACAACCTTTAACATCCCCAGCTCTGCCTTTTGCCCCACGCAGTCAACTACCTCACATCATGCCAAGCAATTAAGTAAATGCTACCTTAACGATGACATCCTAGTCTCTATATTCCAACATCTTGAACTTCACTATCTCCTTCGCCTCCGGGTCATCTCGCGTCACTGGTCTAACATGATTACCAAATCACCCCTACTTCTGCAATTTTTAGACCTCAGCTGCTACAACCGGAAGCTTACAGACGACATACTTTCAAATATCATTTGCCCCTTTATCGGCGACAGGCCTCGCTCTATCAACATGAATAATTGCTTTCATATCACGGATGAGGGTTTCAAGGCATTAGCAAATGCTTGTGGTGGAAATCTTATATCATTGAAGATGAAAAGTGTATGGGATGTAACAGCTTCTGCCATTTTGGATATGGCCAACAAAGCGAAATTTCTGCAGGAAATTGATCTGAGTAACTGCCGGAAAGTCAGCGACACGCTTTTAGCTAGGATTGTCGGGTGGACCGTGCCTAATCCTTCATTCGGACAGCACTTTCTGAACGGAAAATCCGTCCCCAATGCTAAGTGGGCGGGTGTAGGGCTAGTCCAGAACATCACTCTGCAGAATACCCCTGCCAGCGGAACGGTTGTGGGGTGCCCGGGTCTTAAACGCCTGGCTCTCTCATACTGCAAGCACGTCACAGATAATTCCATGCTTCATATAGCGTCCCACGCTGCGTCGCGGCTGGAAGAAGTCGACCTAACAAGATGCACGACGATAACTGATAAAGGCTTTCAGTTCTGGGGAAATGCGCAGTTCCTTCGACTACGGAAGCTTTGCTTGGCAGACTGCACATACTTAACCGATAATGCTATCGTGTACCTAACCAACGCAGCGAAAGGGTTACAGGAGCTTGACTTGGTAAGTCTAATTCACCAACATAGCAACATAGTTTATCTTTAATCGTTATAGTACTGGAAGACTAACAATATTGAAGTCCTTTTGCTGCGCCCTTTCCGATACAGCCACTGAAGTGTTAGCACTAGGCTGCCCGCAATTGACGCATCTCAATTTATCCTTCTGCGGCTCAGCGGTTTCAGATCCTTCTCTGCGCTCTATTGGCTTGCATCTTCTCCTTCTGCAAGAGCTGTCGGTCCGTGGGTGCGTGCGGGTTACCGGCACGGGCGTTGAATCTGTCCTCGATGGATGTAACTTCCTTCGTGTTTTTGATGTTAGCCAGTGCAAAAACCTAACGCCGTGGCTAGATTATGGCTTTCATAGGAAGTATGGAGATAAGATACGGTATGAGACAATTTCCAAGAATGGTAAACTGGTTCGATGACAGGGCACAGGGATACAGTTCTATCAAGTCGTGTATCCTTCACTCCCTTGACGGCCATCCCACCCTAGTAGCTCCTTCCTTTCTATTTTTAACCCCCCATTGATATTCTCTCCTCTTCTTTTTCGGATAATAGTTTACTATCTCCTGATCATTTATTCCCAGTGGCCCCTCTTCTTTTCACGACACTTAGGTTTTGTAGAAGCTGCCGCGGAAAAATCATTTTGGCTTTGACACAAATACCCGACCTGTATTGTTGGATACGAATTTGGTTTCCCTCCCCAATATCTACTGGTTATTTTTTCTGCTCTTTTGGATTTTTTTAAACTTACGACAGACATGATATCCGCACCACCTGTTTACTTCTTCATTTCCTCTTCATTCCCCCCTCCTGTTTTTTTTTGGTTTGTTTATTGCATACACAACTATATAGTTGGTGTCCGAGCCATCTGTCGAGGACGTCGGAATGCTCTACTGTTTCTACCGCAATGGAGCCTTGTTGTTCCTAGTTCTCACTGTTTTCCTGGCGTTTAATAGAGGACGGATTTCACGGAAAACTCGTTGATCAGCATATCTGGTTTCTGGATTTCAGTGAACTGTTGCCAATTGACAGATGCTCACATCCTTGCATTTTAATTTTCTATTTTTTTTTTCTCGCCCCCTCAAAGTCAATATGTTCTCTTTCTCCCCTTGTGCTCCTTTCTGTATACTTTGTTGCGAGTAAAAGAATTTTCCTTTTTTTCCCTGTTTTTTCCATCTTTTTCTTTTCTTTTCTTTTCTTTTCTTTTCTTTTCTTTTCTTTTCTTTTCTTTTCTTTTCTTTTCTTTTCTTTTCTTTTCTTTTTTTTTCATCATAACGCTACCATTTAAGTTTGTTCATTGGTGAATTTCTCAAGCGGTAACTCCCTTGAACTCTCAGCCTTGGTGAGGCAATAAATGTTTAGAGGAAGCTCGAGAGTATTAATAAAAATACCACACCATCTCGTGGTGTTTTGAAGAGTTTGAGGCTTTTGTTGTCCCTTTACTTTCACGCCGCCGCGTGCCAAAGAAAGAAAGAGAGCACAAGAGAAAAACCAAAAGGCGAAGAACAAAATGGCATTGTTTTCTTTCCTTCTAAAACAAATGCCATTGTGTAAGTGGACAAAGAAAATGCACAACTCTCCCTCTGCTGAAGTTGTGCACATCATGAGCTGTCAAAGAATATCAAATATGTCAGGGGAATTTGGCCTGAGACAGAAAAAAAGAGATATTCGATACCTGGAAAATTTTTGATTCTACAATCTTTCACTTGGGTGCTTAAAGGAGAATAAGCAGAAAAAGCTTATCGAGTCGTTTCTATTGTTGTTTTGTCAAAGACATATCAACTTTCTCCTACATACTATACTCACTTCCATCTCAACCCCCTTTCAACCAGAGAACTCCATAATGTTTTGAAATATTTTATTTCTTTTTTGCCATTTTCTTCCATGTCTTCCCTATATAATTTAACTGCAGGAAAGTTCCGATATGAAACTCATTATCTATTCACCAGAAATCGTTCCTGGAAGTGGAGTATATATCAGCTTCAATTTGCCCTCGACTATGTTGCGTTATTCTCCATTTCCCATTTTCATTGCTTTGAATCTTACTCTCTAGAAATACATGCCAGGCGCAAATTAGGCAATATCCCCTATCTCTTGAATAATCTTTCAAGTTATCTTTTATATTTTCTTTCCTATTTATTTATCTTTTACTTACTTCTGGCTATACTGCCCTGCACCCCAACTTTTCCGGAAATTTCACTCCCCACACCCCATCCACTATCAAGTTGAATGATGGCACCCTCCCCGAACAATCCTGAGGACATTAACAATTCTCCGGGCGATAGCCTAAACTGGCCCGATATCGTGGATTTTGGGCAGGAGTCGACGAATGACCCCCAATTATCAACAGCTACCCCTAGGCATGATCGAGATTCTCCTGAGCAAGAGCAGAAAGTACCCGTTACAGGACCAGCTGCTCGTGCGCCCAAAAAAGCCCAAAAGCGAATATTCAGTGAAACAGATACTCAAGAAGAGCCGCGTGACGACTCAAAGAAGCACAAATTAAACATCGATCAGGATGTTAATGTGTACAACATTAGACAGCACGTGGAGACGGCCTTGAAGGTGGAAAGGTTACGTGCTAGGAAAAAAGAGGAACGACGCCGGAAAAAACCCACAGATGTAAAAGAGCATACGGAATATAAGAATACAGAAGATGAGGCTACAGAAGATGAGCTGGAGTCAGAAGACGAGCTACAAGAAAACAATCGACAAGAAGACCTGTCAGAGTGGGGGGTGTTGGGTGTGGGGCCGCCGAAGTCGGATGAGCTCGAGGCTATTGAGGAGTGGCACAAGAAGAGGATTGAATCGGATAGGATCGCGAGGGACGAACGGAGGAAGAAGAGCGAGGAGGAGGAGAACAAGGCGAAGGAGGGGGGCGAGGACAAGGACAAGGACAAGGAGAAGAAGAAGGAGAAGAAGAAGAAGGAACCACGAACAATTGAGGCATGCAACCATTGCAAGGTATGTGTTATACAGCTTGTGTCTAATTTGCGTATTTTTTTTATTTCACCTCCCTGTAGCCTCAACTCTTCTCTTGTTCTGCCATATCTGACAATCAGCAAACTAGGACAAAAAAATTAAATGCAGCGCCAATAGAAAAAAGTGCAAACCGTGTAGGGATGCAAAGAAGGATTGTTTTTTTTCTCACCCTGCATTGGGTGAACCGTGGAAACGGGAATGGCCTGTACATCGATATGGAGAGGTAGAAGCCGAGCGGGACTACTATCGCAAAAAAGTAAAACATCTTGAACTGCTTGTCGATTTTCTACAACCGAGGGCTGTACTGGGCCCACGAGACAAACGCCAAATTGACGAATGGGAAACAAAGCAGGAAGCAGCGGACATTGAGAGAAAATGCGTCATGGAGGAACGACGAACGAGCCGAAGGAAGTATAAGCAAAAGTATCTTGAGCGGAAAAAAGAGAAACTCGAGAAACTCGAGAAACCCAAACAAAAGGGAGGCGTAATCGAAGATCCCGCACAAGCAGGGACACAGAAAAGACAACTTAATAAACAACACCTGCAGCGACAGCCGCCCAGTTCAGCAGTAAGAGTCCCATTATTTTTTCACAAAGAGCGATTGTTCCTAATTCCTGTTACTGACTCGTAAAACCTAGGAGAGGCCAGTTATTAATGACCCGAATGAAACACAAGTTAGCCATGTGCCGAGCTACACACAAAATCCTTATTCTAACTATGCAGGTGTGTAGATCCTATCACAAATATGGTTTTCCGACTCAGCTCCTCAATATCGTTGGACTTCTGAAGAGAGCTAATAAATTTTTCTTTCCAGAACCGCCCAGTTTCTCCGAGCAATGGTGGGCCCCATTGCCTACTGACAGGAGCGATGATGAGCTCGACGCAGCACTTACAAACCCCGTCACACGAAGACGGCCACAGCGGCAGCCGCAGTCCCGGCCGCCGCGTGCAAGACCTAGTGGGCAACGGCCCGGGCAGGCTCGCCCCACGGTGCAAAGCATTGATTCTCAGGCAACACGGGACACGGGTAACCCACATGTTCCCTCATACCTAGAGTTCCAGCCGCAGCCGCAACAGCAGCCACCATACGGACGAAGAGAGGGAGCACAGCCTGAGCAGACCTTTCAGACACCCTCACCACCGTTTGATGATCCTTCCCGGTCGTCCTTCTTGTGAAGGCGATCCTCCTTTGAAAAAGGACATTTTTTTATTTTTTATTTATATATTTATTAATTTTGAACCTGGCTCCCACTGTGATGATGATAAGATCATAATACGCAATTGGGGAAAAGAGCGTCGCCGGCAACTTGTATAATTACTAGGCAGGAAGACAGGAGTGCTGGTAAGCATTTTAATAGTTCTTCTGTTTACCCTTTTGCAGATTCCTCATCTTCCCCTCCATCCACTTCATCCAGATTTCAGATCCTTGGCTAATTCTTGACGCCATTGTCGGTTACTCTCACAGATTATGAATCTCCTGTTAGCTGATTGACTCCTTGGATATTTTATGGGAATCTGCTTCATTTTTTCTTCTTCAAATTCCCTGGTTTGAATTGTTTGGTTTGTTGTACTTTCTTTTGTTTTCTTACATGCAGCTGGCATTGTTTCGGGCATGTCTCTTGTCTTATATATGTCGCCCTTTTCTTTTTCTTTTTCTTTTTCTTTTTTTCTTTTTTCTTTTTTTGTTCATTAATGTCCTTATTCTCATATTTTTGTTGTACAGTACATACATGGCTGGGTGGGTGGCTTCAAGTGCATAGCCTTCAGAGAATGGCAGGAGTTTTGGGATAAAGATGTTGTAATCATTGGCGTGGGCAATGCTATTATTTTCATCCATGCAAACAAACTCTCAGAGAAATGTCCCTTACGTATAGAGTGAGAAGAAATATGTTGTGTAAAATGGGTTGTAGATAATGAAGAACATAGCCAAATCCACTTGGGGATAATAAAACATGTTAGAGGCTTGACATGGAAGGGTAGGTCTTCAAGAAGAGTTATATAAACTGAGGCACAAGGCTCGAATTGAGGAACTACATTTGTTAATATAAGTGAAAGAGATGTTAAAAGCATACATTGAACAGTATGAGTATTCAATATTTTAAGGGGCCATTAGCATTATTTGCATCTAGAGACCACTCGACCAACCGGTTGATCCACGTAAAACTGGAAATGAATACCATAGCCTACAGGCCTGTATAACCAACCACCAAAATAATATCTATATATATATATATATACAGTCATGAGTCATAGCCAACAAGCTGGATTACTGAAAATGTCATGGGTCAATGCGATTTCGCGCTGGCCTGCTTTTTCCAAACACAACAAATCCCTTTGCTCTCGCACCACTCTCTCACAACTCCGGCACCGACCTCCCGATCCTCTCCGATGAGGCCAAATCCACCGGTGTTGAGCCATGCAGCTAGATCTTCGAGCTGAATCGGGTCATACATGAGAATTTTCTCATACCATGTAGGCTGTTTCAACCCTTTGAACGCTCTAATTCGAGGTTGAGATTGAACTGCTTTCGTGATCTGGCTAGAAAGGCTTGGCAGATTCGTGGTAGAGGATACAGAAATGGAAGACTTTGCGGAACGTATGGCCATTTGAGTCGTAGGAGCATGTATTTCATCACAATCCTGCGGGTGGTGCAATGTGCCGTTCCCATTAGAGCTATGAGAAGGTGATAGCGGAAGGGCTTCTCCAACAGAGTCGCTTGATTGATCATCGTCTATGAGGATTGCGCATGGAGATACAAAACGCTTCATAGGCAACTTCGATGTTATTCTTGGACCTTCATTTGATAAAGAAAAACTCTTTGGTTCCTGAGACTTCACCGAGGTTTTCGCCAGCCGTTTTTTGGGAGACCGTGTGATGACGAAGGAAATCGAATCAGACCGTGGCTTGAGGCCTAATAGTTGCCTTTCCGCAAGATCATCTCCCTGGCTCTTATGATTGCGCTGATTCGGCTTTGGCTCGAGCTTCGATGACTTAGATTGGTTTTCCCAGCACTTTTCAAGGAGAGAGATCATCTTATCCCTACTCTTGATAGGTTTAAAGCCATATGCAGCAACCTGCTTCGCCAATTCTGATGTTGTAAACCCGCCGAATATAGGTTTATCCGGAGGAGGACGCTCAAGCATTGCTTCTGAAATATTTGCAGGGGTTTGGGAATTGAGTTTCGCGTTAGTAGACTCCAGATTCTCTCTGTAGACGAGATCGTCTTCTGCTAGGGAGGGTTCGTTCATGTTATCCAATTCGCGCGTATCAATATTCGCCGCTAATGTGCGAGTATCTTTCTCAACGTCAATCACATTTTGTCCAGAAAGATCCCGAATACCTGTTTTCCGTTTATATTTGGCCGCGGGGGTAGAAACCTCGATTGAACGCTCCGATAAATCTATTTCATCAACCTGGAGGACAGCCCCTGTTAAATCTCTAGAGCTCGCAGACCAAAGATTCTTCGAACTGGATAATCGAAATAAACTCGAGCCCAGACCTTTGGAAACCGCTGGCCTCGGAACAACATTGCTTTTATTTATCGAGTCCGCGGTGTGTTGTATTTCTTCATCCTGGTCTTCCGAATGGCCATGTTCTAACTGGCTTGAAGTCCCAAATAACAATTCTTGTCCGTCAAATGATTTGAAAGCCTCAAGTGGGGGAACTACCTTAAATACCGGAGGTCCATTCCCATTCTTTAAAGTATCTGACTTCCCTCTAGCTGCATTTGCACGTTCCGTCCCCGATGTTCGTTTCGTTACGCCCATTTTCTTGTTTTTCCCGGAGTTCACAGTTTCAATGCGATCCAAATCGGCTGTTTGATCTACCACACTATACTTAGCAGTAACGTATGATGTGAGTGTAGTTAATTTTGCCTTCTGCGGCTTTTTGACTTTCACTCTCTGTTGCTTTGAAGAGATGCTCTGAGAATCATTAGTGGCGGGCCTACTTTCGGTCGGAGTTTGAATGCCTGAGGCGCTATAAAAATTCTGAAGCTGCAACACAGTTAGCAAGCGTTCCAAGGCAAAAGATAACTGCAAAAAACTGGCATAATACCTCCATCAGACGTTTTGTCGTGGGTCCATTATCGCAAGTCTCCGGCATTGGCGCTAGTGATGTATTTACTACTCCGCTGAATCCGTAATTAGAGAGCAGCGTCCCAGCGCTGTGCGTCCTAATTACGCTCTTGCCGCAAGATGAGGAGTGAACCTCAGCCAAATCAACCATTGGTATCGGCCCCTCTTTCGTAGGAGTCCAATCGAGCCTTCTTTTGGTGGCTTTTTCGAGCTGTAATCCGCCCGTTTGTCGCTCCAGTTCATTATCCGTGTTATCGCCAACAGATGGCGCTTTATTGTCGCAAGGTTTTGATGGCGGAATTTTCGCGTCTAGCTTGAGGTCCCCAGGAGATTTTACTTTCGAAACATGTCCATGCAACCTTCTCTCTGCTACGCCATCTTGTTTCCTTGTGCGTTTCGCTGTCGCCGCTTTCTTCTTTCGCGTCTTTGGGCTAACAATGAGCCGATCGCCATCCACGGTTTGGATTTCTGTCTGTGTGGCCATTTTATGGCTCGCTGTTCTTTGTCCGTGTCTCATTGTACTCGCAGGTTTAGCTTTTGATCCAGTTATAGATTTATCCTGCCTCTTGGGGCTATCTACTACGAGGGAACTATTTTGAATAACTTCAAGGCAAGTTGTCTTGGCTCCATCCATTTGCAAATTTGATATTTTGTGAGATGGTGATTTCGACAGGCTTGTCAATAACGTCGAAGGAGATGGGGGGCTGAAAGGTGACGACGGTTCAATGACCTCTGCACTAATCGGAGATGAGTGGACACTGATAGGAGTAACAAAGCGCGCAGAGCTTCGGCCGTTAGATGGTGGCGTGTTGGATTGACTTGCTATGGCAGCGTTATCCATTGTTCCGGAAACATATATAGGAGTATGGATGACTTGTAAAAAATCTCCAAGGTAGTCATCATCTATTAGAGCTGTAGCGCTGGTTGGAGTATTCGATGATTCGATGTCGATTTGAATGTCTGACGTCGAGTTTCTGGAACTGACAAGGAAATCTTGGCGCAAATTGAGATATTGCCCGATTGGGTCAGAGTGGCTTGCTGGCCGGGCAACCACGATCTACTGTCTTGCGCGCAATGAAAAACTACGAAGTCTGTTTGCTGTATATACTACGTAGATGGATGTGTGGAGGAGTTGTTGCTTGAATAATTGTAACTCAGTTAGAACTATAATATCTTGTATTTAGCGGTGTTTCTACCGATTGCCTCTATTCTTCCCACATTTGCTGGGGTTATTTATTTTGCCCATGCACTTATCTGGCTAGCCCACGTTGTTGCTGGCCTGATTATGGGACCTACTCAATTTCCTCCCGGGCGAGCTGCAACAATGAGCCACGGTCAAATACCAAGAAAAAGGCCCAAGCTCCTGCCACCATACAACACCGCGGCTGGTTCGCCAAAAAGAGAAAGAAGAACCCTCAAAGTATCGTATATAGTTTGACTGAAGGCCTGTCTGCTGCCACGAGAAACCATTATATATCCCTCAAGAAGGATATTCCTTACACAGCTCAGAATGCAAACCACAGGATCATCGTTAAATCGTGCGCGGTGGTGAGGCAATCGAAGCTTGCAAAAGGAATCCAACCGAAAGCCGAAGCCTTGAGACGGGAAAATATCCTTCGATACCCTTCAACAATTTTTCAAGTCGAAGTCAGGCAACATCAGGATCAATCACGACCCTCTCAAAGCCATGAGGCCAAGAATGGTCCTCTCGAGATCTCTCATTTCAATCCCCGCTGGCGTCTTGGAGGACTTCTGGCCAGCCTTGCCTGCTTCAACCTTCGGCGCCTGATTCACATTCCCAGAACCCAACTTATATGCCTTCCGAATCTTCCCAATATCTGACACCAGACGGAGGTTGTCGTTATCGAAATTAAGCGAGATTCCTTTGATCACTTTCTCCAGATGCTGAGCTACGGACGCATTTGTCACCTCTGGTGACGTGGAAACTTTTACCACTAATAAGTCCTTGGTGGTATCCGTCAACCCAAATTTGCGAAAGGATTCTGCAATCTACCGAGCAGTCAGTAACACTCATCTAATCAAAGGAAACATTAGAAGGACGGACATTATTGTTAGCGCTGAGAGAATATACTATTTCGGAATGAACATTCTTCGACTTCAGTCGGTTATTTTGGTGGTCATTAACTGCTCTGAACACAGCCGCAAGCAGGTGGGTGGTGGAGAGTATCTATAGGTCTTTGGTTAGATTTTTAAGGGAACCAGATACCCCTCGCGTGCGGGGCCACTTGATGGGGCAATAATCCCACCGTTGCAGCATCGATGAAGGCATATTCGAATTCAGTATTTCCAGAAAAGAGCTGCTCCCTTAAAAACGATGCATTTTCGAGATCTCGATATAACGCGATATGCACTGGACAGTTCGAGGGAACATGAAAAAGCTGGATGGTCTGAACGGAGGGCATGTTGAAAGGATTGTATAAGTTCGTGCCTCACATTCAAGGAGAAATATTGTTGTTAAAAGCGACCAAAACCAACCGCATGGCCTCTAATATGACTTAAGGTTGTACAGTACATCAAAACAGTAAATTCATCAGCAAGCCCAGTAATAGTTATCCCCACACTCGTTGAAGTATTTTCTTGGCAAAATACGTCACGTGATAATTGCATCATTTCTGGAATATTCCGGATCCCGTGATTTATTGATGGATATCCAGCTCTTTCAGCCTTCAAGTTCTGTCTTCCTGCATCGATCAAGAATCCATCCTCATCTCGATCTCCTTATTAGCCATGATTTTTGTTCTCCGCCGGCCGTTCGCCGTCTCCACGGCTTTCAAACATATTCCAAAGTCATCAAATACGACCTCTCGGTTCATTCATAGCTTTCCCTTCAAACAAGAGCCATCCTCTAGGACTCAGCAAGGGACTTCCACCTTCTCACGATTCCACCAAACATATCAAAATGCTTTCCGCCGAACATACCGGCAAATACCCTACCAAGCAGCGCAAACGTCAGGAAACTTGACGCAGAAGCTGCTGTATGGTGCTGCTATCGTGGGAGGCACCATCGTTGTGACAAACATGATCTTCAACCGCGAAACCAGAGAAGATGGCGCCATGCCACTCTTCGAGAGACAATATCTGAATCAAACCTTTATGCACACCGGCCTTGGTATCGGAATAATCGGCATCGCAGCACGCGCTCTACACACATCTGGCTGGTCCTACAGGCTGATGGCTACGAACCCGTGGGCAGTTGTCGGGCTGAGTTTGGTAGCTAGCATCGGGACGATGTATGGGACATTTTACACAGCTCCTGAGAAGTAAGTAGGAATGAATTCTTATCTCCTCCTCCTCCTCCTCTTCCTCCTCCTTCTCCTCTGCCATCCGCCATCTTTCCCCTAACGAGACTAACATGTTCAAACAGCTATGTCCAGAAATACGCACTCTGGGGCGCCTTCAACCTAACCCAAGCCGCCGTCCTCTCCCCGCTAATGTTCATGTCCCCCGCCCTCCTCGCCCGCGCCGGCCTCTACACAGTTGGCATGATGGGCTCCATCGCCTTCGTCGGCGCAACGGCCAAGCAAGAGAAATACCTCTATCTCGGCGGCCCCTTGCTTGCCGGCGTTGCCGTCGTGGCCGTGTCTGGTCTTGCGCCGCTCGTACTCCCCGCTACAGCGGCCCGATCACTCATGTGGTCTGAGCGCATCTGGCTCTACGGCGGTCTCGCGGTCTTTGGCGGCTTCACCCTCTATGACGTCCAGAAAATCCTGCACCATGCCCGCATGGCGGAGCGGGGCCTGATTAAGAAGGATGTGGTTAATGAGAGCATTAGCCTTGAGTTGGATTTCTTGAATATTTTCATTCGGATGGTGCAAATTCTTGGTATGAGGGGTAATAACCGGAAGTAGAAACTTCGCTTCGAAGAATGATAGGTTGGAGATTGGGGGCGTAGACGCCAAAGAAATGATGGATGTTCGATTCCCTCTGTCCATGCAGCCATCGAAGACATTCTGGAACAATAGAACTTCCGAAAAGATACGGACTTCCCATATATATTTGCTACGGTCCTCCCCACTATTTCTTGTGCTCTTTCTCGTCAAGCCGAGACAGCGAAGTGTGGAAAAAAGAAAAATCTCCCGTCACTCTATTTTTTTTTCAACAAGAACCATAAAACATACTTAAGAACTCTACCTAATAGAAAACATTATCTTCATGTATATAGCTACCTTTTTTTTCCCCCTTTTCTCCTTGCTGGTGTGTTTGAATGACACTGCTGTACAATACAACGCCTATACAATAGTTTCAAGACTGCAAACCTTCATTGATATTAAAACACAAGAACAACTTTATCACACAAGATTGCTCCAAACCACAGGAAAACGGATATGAGGCCTTTGTAATTATATATATATATTTATACATTTTCTCGTACATAAAAGAACAAAAAAACAAAAGAGGGAGGGGTGGGAAGATCATGAAATTAAAAAGAAAATGAAATATTTCATAACAACCGATGATAATATCATGCCGCAAAACATTGAGGGGGAAGATCTGATTCATTCCTATTTGCAAGTTGCCCGTGCCTGCCCGCGCCCTCGTCCTCTCGCGCGCCCAGTGCCAAGGCCAAGCGGACACGCGCGTTACGAAGACAATTCCAACGAGGTATAGAGCACGGATAGATATCTACATCATACCGTGTCGCGAGACGTAAGCAAACATAGGGGGAGGACGAAGGCAAGAAACCTGGCAGGAGGGAAAAGAAAATAGAAAAGAGAAGGAAAAAAAAAAAAAAAAAAAAAAAAAAAGGAGAGAGAATCCCTTGGATCTCATAGCAAACCAGCAAATCCAGCCGTCAATGCAGCGCCAAACACGCCCACCGATATCCCTCGTGTTCCTCCCAACCCCGGCGCCCCGGATTTCAAACTCATAGTACCGTCCGGCGAACCCTGGCCATCAGCATTGTGGTGCGCCGCCCCACACAATCCGCTCCCATGCATCTGATCAGCGGGGAAAAGAACCCTCGGCAGCCCCTGTCCCATCTCAAGCCCAACCGTCCCCCGATAATCGACCGTATAGTTCTTACAACTCAGCACTTCCGTGATGACTATTCCAGGCGTGTAGGTATTGTGCAGGTCGAGGCGGTAGTTGCCGCCCTTCTCGCCCTGGTTGGAGTAGACGACGATGACATGGTGGCCCTGGCCACCCTTGCGGGTAACAATGGTGCTGCCGTCGGTGTAGATGGGGTATGATTTTTGGAGGACGTAGTCGGGGCTGACGCGGATGGCGTGGGCGCGCATCTTGTTGAAGGAGGCTGTTAGCTTGTAGAGGGGGGACTTGGTGTTGTACTTTGATGTCCAGAGGGCTTCGCGGTTCTCGGGGGTGCTGGCACCGGAGAAATGTTGTTCTTGTCCCTGGTAGTAGAGTGGGATTCCGTCTGAGAGGATTGTAAACGTTAAGACGTTTTTGGCGAGCTGAAGGAGTGTGATCTGGATTAGTGGCTTCCACCTGAGGGGAGGGTTATGTGAAGGGCTTTTTAATAAAGCGTGGTGCACATGCAACTTACAGAGAGATCCTTGGTATAAGATGGAAATCGTGGAAGGTCATGATTCTCCGAGAAGGTTGCAAGGGCGGTAATGTCATTGCAGATATCCTTCGCAGCGGAAAGCGTTCTTTTGAGCGCTGTGATATTTCCAGCAGTAAAGGCTTCAATCATTCCGAAGTACACGGGGTAATTCGGCACGCTGGGAATAAAATTCTGATAATCACAAGTGATAGCCACATCGGCTTCGAACACCTCCCCTGTGGTGAAGACGCCAGACGCCTTGGCAACCCTCTCAAGGTATGCTGTGCCGGTGTGTTTTGCAGCATCTATCCGGAGGCCATCAATTGAATACTCGGCAACGAGGTTCTTGACCCAGGTCTCCATCATCTTTGTGACCTCTTCGGATTCCGTGTTAAGATCCGCAAGCGCAACAAGATCATCACCCATCCAACAATTTTGCGCCTCTTTGTAATCGTTGTAATCTTCGATCTTACAATAAGGGTGAAAATACTTTTTGTCGTTGAATGGTTTGAAAACTGAGTAATCAACCGACGTAGCAGGGTTGCTGCCATTGGTCATCACTGCCATATTATTGATGACAATGTCGACCATCAAGTACATGCCGCGAGCATGCAGCTGCTTTCCCAGCTCCAGAAGATCCTCGCGTGTCCCGAAATGACTATTCAACTGATATAGATCTGAAACCCAATAGCCGTGATAGGCTTCACCATAACTAACTTCGCCTTTGATATTCTTTGAGACTGGTGATATCATGATCGCATCAAACCCTAGGCCTTGAATATAGTCCAATTTGTTGATTATACCTCTCCAGGTTCCCCCGCAGAAGAAGCCTTTCTTGGCGTTGCATTTTGCAGATGTAGAGCCATCAGTCCTCGCGAATCTGTCCGTGAAAACCTGATATATCGACCTAGGTCTCCAGTCGTCCGTGTTCGCCGCTAATGAAAGTCCAGCAAGATGGCATAAAATAAGAAGCCCAAACAGCCGACATGGATATCGAAATAGTGAAATCATTGCTTCCTCCATAATTTTCACAGATTTCAATTTTCTCTAATGCAAAAAGAGACGATTTCACCCTGGCTCACCTGCGCACAGCCAATAGAAAGTACCACGTTATGTATGTATGCGCATAGGTCTACCACACCCATTCGTTGCTCTCTAATAGCACGCGACGGCCGGTTTAAAGGTTCTGGGGGGAGGACCACGGAATAAACGTGGTTTTGGAGGATTAGGATTGGTCTATGATCCCGTATTCAGAGTGAGCATTCTAAGGGGATGGCGGTAGTTACTTCATGAAGTGAAAGAATGGAATTTCCTCGAAATTTTCTTTCTTCTCTTCTTCTCTAGAATGAAGATCCCTTGCTTGGCCCCTGAAGTAACGAGGGGCACGAATAGTTAGTGCGAATATCGATTCTGACTCTCCAGATACGAGCCGCAAAAGAGTCGTGAGAAAATTAGGCGCGAGGGAGCGTCTGAGACAAATAAAAGAAATTGGCTTTCTGTCGAAATGTTGAACCTGTAATCATTCGCGGCAACGGTTCCCAAAAGAGTGGAAGGACTTTATTGAGGAATATGAAAGGAATGTGGTAGCTTATGGATAAAGCGCAATGGATGTAAAATAAATAGGATATCAAACGAATGGATAATGTTTAGAAAACGAACGGATAGCAAGCGCTGAAAGTGAACAAAAGCCGAAAGGGAAAAAATGAAAGGAGAAAAAAAAAAAAAGAAAGAAAGAAAGAACGAAAGAAAAACTTTGAAAGAGTCAAAGTTCCCCGTGTGAACCAACTGGCAAATGGAGGGGAAGCGAGGGAAAATGGGGAAACGAGTAATGGATCTAATAAGTGCCTCGTTGCTCCAGACTTTCGCGACGCCGCCGACCCCGTACTATGATAGTAAAATTTAAACTTCATGAGCGCTTCACATACTTCCAGGTACGACTGAAATATATGTGGTAAAGTTAGTAGGCCAATCAAGAATGGTAACTTCAACTGACGTACCCCAACCTTGGTTCCGTCCATCAAATCAGATCACAAGAGCCAGGCCGCTTCAGTCGTGGAACAAGCAGCAAGACGCCAATATTTTTGGCCTCTCTGATTCCTTAGGGATACAAATCACGACCACCACAGACGAATAAACAAGTTTGATGGCTTCCCTGGTTGGTATGTGTGGTGGCAACGACAAACCCGAGCCTGTGGTGGTGGTTGGTGGTGGTGGTGGTGGATGTTTAGTCGACCCTGCCAAGCCGCCGCAAAGGCTCTGGGCGCAAGTGAAACCTATTGTCCAATCAGATATCGTCTCGGGAAGGCACTAGTCTTATTAGTCAGCTGGCCGGGTGCCAACTTGAACCCAATCTTGGAAGGTTCCCGTCCGTCCAAGGTTCCCGAATCTTGTCTGAGTCTAGTCCCAACTGCCGAGGTTCCGAAACGCTCCCCACGACTGCTGGCCAAAGAAGATTTTATCAGGTGGTTGACCACAAGGCTTTGGGAGTTGATATGGCCGTGGATGCTCTTGCTCAGCGTAGGGGGAGGATAGAAGCTCGATTCAAGCAGAAAGTATTGCTATCCAAATCCACCAAAAGTCTGAGAGAGAGGGAGAAAGAGATGCGAGTCCTTGCGCTAAATTATTATCCTGGTAACTAGAGGTTGTTTTAAAGCGCCCTAAAATACCTGGCATAACTATACAAGTCTCGCAGGAACTTCTCCAATAGAATCCCAAGGAACATGCCACTATTGCCCAACCGAACTGATGGATGCTGTTGACATTACCGAGTCCGTTGGCGCTTGTCGCCAATGCCCAAACGCAACCTTGTGTCAGTCTTACTCGTCATAAGATTAGCGACCTGGGAAGCTACTCTACTTACTATGTAGTTAATCAAACCATATCCCAGAGCCCTCTGTGGTGTGATGTTCAAGTGGTGGAAGCTATTATGGTAAGCTGGTGTCGGAAAATATGTGCTGCGCAGTGTAACTTACATCTGTACATTTTTTTGATGGCAGCCTCGCTGGAGGAACAACAACAATACTAATAATATCACAGTGCTGGCTTACCTCCTCGAACGAGTGGAGTTGCCTGCCGCCTAATACAAACTGAATGCAAAGAACATATATGCGGACGGAATAGGTACAGACAGAGAAACGTGCTAGACTAACTTTTCATTCTTCTCAAACCCAAGAGCATCCCACCCCACCCAGATCCAACCCAACAGCACATTCCTTGCATCCCCACCCAGCCCTTTAAATTTCCTTGTCCCGACGCGCAAGCTCTTCAAGCCCATCCGCAGCCTTGGTAAAGCCCCCAACGACATCCATCAGCGCGTTATGCTCCTCCTTCAGCCTCTCCCCCTCCAGAACCCACTGATCCCTCGTCTTCACAACAGCCTGCTCGTCAACAATCCTCTCATACTTTTCCAACCACTCCCGCCTCTCCCCAACGTCCAGCTTCTCCAAATTCCTCACAGCCACCTCTTCCTGCTCCACCAGCTCCCCCAACATTTTCTCCTTGGGAACCACCTTATCATACTCCTGGATCTGGTACTGACACTCCCTAACCCGCTGGTAAATCAGACCCATATTCCTCCTCTCGCGCCCGGATATCTTGCCAAAAGTCACCAGCACAGTCGTCGCGGTCCATTTCCACGGTATCTGTGAGGCAGGGAGTAGAATCTGCATCGCGCGTATTTGCCGTGGTTGCCGCATGACATTTTCCAGCGCGCTCACGACCCGCCCACTGATGAAGCCGTATTGATGGTTTTCTGTGCTGAGCCGCTGGCCATCCATGATATCGATGCTGAGGAGTAGGGAGGTGTCGTTGAGTTCTTCCAGTGCCACAAGTTCGCATATGCTGCGATTGAGGCGCAGGAGGACGGAGAGATGGGGAGGCTTTGTAGCCTCTGGCATGGGACCGGCTGTGGAGGGGTGCAGTCCTTCTTCAGCTTCGCCTTGTTGCTCTACTTCTCCCTCCATTGTTTCTGCTGCTGGTACCGTTGTTACTTCTCTAATGGTAACAGTCCCCGTGGAAGATTCGAAATCTACATCGATATTACTTCTCGGAGGACGTAGATGAACATATTCATCGGCTTGTCCATCAGTTCCCTTTATCCGTATCACGATCTCAGCGCCTGTTCTGATGTGGTTGTCGTTTTCGAAATCCGGGTCCCCCTGGCTATTTAGCCAGTGGAGGATCCTTTCATTTCGTGAATCTTCACTACTTGGTTCCGATGAAACGTAGCCAAAGGCTGACATCGACGTCGTCTGATCATTCCTAGCGCATGTTTCAACCGTTGATTTAGTTAATAGCTAGATCAGGTGGGCCTCCTCTTCTGAGGCGTTGCTCATCGTTGGGGATACTACTTACAACGGCGACATGTCGTACTCTGCAAACAAAGCCAGCAGTTAGATGTCCTCCTATCAAAGCCTCTCACAGGGATGGATAGAAATGTGAGCTTTTTTTCATCTATAGATAGAATAGAGCAGTGAAGCAATTAGCTCAACCAGAAAGACAGGAGTAGTTGATAGAGCTGAGAGATCTCCCTTGTTAGATGAGATCACTGTTCTTGTATAAAGAAAAACTTCAATTCACCAACTCACCATGCTGCATGAGATATAATGTTTGAGGTGAATATGTGTTGGATGTAATTGCCTTACTCTCTCCCCTTTAGCTTTCTTCAATCATTGCTGCCATAATGTCAATGAAGAAGTACCTTGGACTCTGTGTAAAAAATCAGTTTCACTTCGACAAGAATATTATCAAATACATAATTTTTCAAATATTGTATATTGTATGTAGTATGAGTCAAGCATGCTTTATCATCTCCCTTCCACAGGTAGGTAGGTGCAAGAGAGGTTGCTGCCTTCCTTAGAAGTAAATAAACATATCAGCTAGCACAACGGAGTGAGGTGTAACTTCTTGAAATTTTATATATCATACAGATATATACATCAAGTGAAGCTTTCCTCACTTACCAAGCAGATTGAATGAATCGCAAAAATACTATGAAAATATATATTAGTGAATAACTTTCTAGTTGTAACATCTCAGGGAGGGAGGTCATCAGCAGACTAACAAACCATGGCATGGCATCAAAAATCTACAACATGAGATCTATTGCACCAGGAGTGAAATCAAATCAATTCAGCAGCCCTTTTGCAAATATTTCGTATCATGCGTATGAGGTGTTGTTCACAACTAATGGAATGTGAATTCCTTCACACGGTATCATAGCAAATCTCCTTTTCGAATGACACAACTGAAATCTCGCCAGGCCAGACAGCATCGAAAGCGGAGATTTAAGAATATTTCATAATGTGGTTTCCTCTCTTTGGTCCTATTCAGATAAATAGAGCGAGAGTAAGAGGAGAGAGAAAAATAGAGAGAGAGCATTGTATCTACAATGCGCGAAGTATCCCAGTCTGTCTGTATACCCTTGACATGAACGGACGTTGAATATTACTGTCCTACTGCGTAAAGGCACTTTACAGGCATGTGAGACAGGGCAACCCATACACTCTACCAATGACAAGAACAATTGGTAGCTTTACGACCGTTAAAAAACGTTCACAGACTGAGGTACGGATTAAGTGAGGTAGAGAAGGGGTTTGGCCCTTTCCCTTCGCCACTTATCATGATTAGCCCAATGAGCGCCCTGCAACCCCCTTCTAGCCCGCAAGATAAATTCATTTTCCTGGTTCGATGTATGCTTTGGAGAAGAGATAAGAAAAATGGGAGAATTCCAGCTATGGCTGAGAGAAGAAACTGTGAGTTAAAAGCTGCCGCATGAAGTAACTTACCGCTACTTCGGGCTCCGTCAGTTCTCACAAGGATAGGTATATGGTATGCCATCGATGACTCCCCTGCGGCTTTCCCGGAATGGGATCGCTGTAGGTTTCCCTAACTTTACCATGGATAATAGAATAGGAGCAACGGAAAATGGAAAGATGCCACCGTCGTTCGTTGGGCGACGGCTCTTATTCCCTGACCAAGCCTAGTACCTTGGAAGTTGCTTCTTTGTCTGCGAGTCAAAGCTGTACGTTGGATTAGATCATGCGCAGGGTCTCGGCTTTTTCATTCTTGGGTAATTTTAACAGCTACCAATCGCATTGCCAAAACATGAGATGTTTTGTGATTATGTTTCGCATGGTTGCCTGCGGAGCGGAAGTGCGTGGCTGTTCGGGGAAGGACATGCCACCCCATTCGCTAATCGAAGTCCTTAGCCGCTGAAGCTGTCAACCAAACAGATTCCACCACTTCCAAAATCTGTTTTCAACCCAAGGTATTGCTCCGGAATGCGATCTTTAATTCCATCTAATGAAAACTGTCATTTACTCTTTACCAAGTTTGGTCGGCCCACGCAGCTCGAAGAGGACCACTTCCCCGTGCGTTTAGCTTCTCCCCGACCCTAATTTTGCGGATCATTTCTTGGCCTACTTGCGCCATGAACCTGGCTGAGTGCATGCTAGGTGGTCTGGAAAATGGAGCATAGATACGGCCTCCCCCGCAATTGTCCGGCCGCTTAGACCATGGAGGCGTCGATTCGCGTTGGACCCTCAGTCTCGCATGAGGAGAAAAGGAGAATAATTCCCAGCGGCACTTTTTGCGAATATTTATAGACCCGTGATTCCTAGGTCTTGGAAACACCCCGAGAGATGCACTGTATATACACTCATTTGTCGAATTTCCAATTCGGTTGTATATATATATACCTGTCCCTCGTTATATAACGCACCTCTGGTTCAATTGCGATGAAGCTATTTTCCCTCGTGATATTAGCGACTCTTTGTATATCCGCCTTCGCCCTTCCAACAATATCACCAGACATTGGGAAAAGGAGCAGCGTTGAACGACGGGGTGGAATTCCGGGCTGGGATTGGATTCGAGACCTTTTCAGAAGTTCAAAAGGTGGCCCTACGACCGAAAATGGGATCAAAAAATTCAACGGCTGTCAGCCGTTAACTTTGATATTCGCCCGCGGGACGGACGAAAAGGGGAATATGGGAGACATAGTTGGTCCTCCTCTTGCTGCCGCATTGAGGGCCCTTCTGAAGGGAAAGGTCACCGTCCAAGGAGTTGATTATCCTGCCTCTTTTCTGGTAATTTCAGTCTGAAAAAAAAAAAAACATAGACTTGGGTTGGCGACCTCTGCTAACTCCCAAGAATAGGGAAACTTGAACTTCGGGGAAGATGGCGGACCAACTATGGTTGATCTCATCAACCACTCATTGTCGCAATGCCCTGAGAGCAAAGTAGTCCTTGCTGGATACTCCCAGGGAGCTGCAGTGATCCATAATGCCTCTAGGGACCTCCGGAATGATCAGGTAGCAAGAGCAGTGCTCTTCGGCGACCCGCTCCACGACCTTCCTCTCAAATCTCTTGCTAAAGATAAGGTGATGTCGATATGTGCAGAAGGAGACCCTATCTGCCGAGGCGGTTTAGATATGACTGGTCATTGGTCCTACGCAGAGGATGCGAATCGAGCTGCTTTATTTCTTGCAGCAGCAATGAGAGAGAAATCTTAACCGGAGAATTGAAATGGGGAAACAAGGTCCGAAAATAAGAAACAACAACCAGGTACCAGGAAGTACTTTAAGAGCTGGGAAACATTTCCCACGAGAAAGGGAACTGGAACGGAATGACAGCCCGTGTCCAATGCTCTCGATTATCCCCTGGCGCAAGGGAAACAAAGAGCTTGTGGTATACATTCTTTTTTGTTTTTTTGTTTTTTTGTTTTTTTGTTTGTTTTTTTCAGAGACTTGTAATAAATGTATAAGTTAGTATTTGTGTAACTAAATCTTCTCTTTTCCCTTTTTTGCATTTCAGTTCCTTCCGTTTGGTATTTAAGGGGCATTTTACTGTCTGTTGGCATCCCATTCAATAACCGAGTTGAGCAAACCGTGAGGCCCAACCACACCAACAATGCCATACCCACACTTCACATAGTATAAAATTGATGGAATTTATAAATTTCGCGTTATGTATCATCGGAAAGTGAACAAAGTGCCAATAGGATTGAAGGGAAGCTGAGTCGCTCACGCGGCGGGATGGCACGGAAGGTTAATTTTCAAGCCCAAACCCGCGGGATCCTCGTTGAAGAAGATGTATTTCATTGCCCGATGTATTCTCGTATTAGTCCCAGTTGTTATTACCAGTCGTTGGATGTTATGTATAAGGATGAATTGAGTATCTCTCACAAGTCCAAGCTCTGGCCAACCCCGCTTATCTAATCAGCCCAGCGCCATTGCTTGGGTTCTGGATGAAAGAATCAGCCTGAACAACCAGCACAGTGATTGACAGTCCAAAGCTCAGCAATCAATCCTTTCAACATTTATCGCGTCATAGCTTCAACCGCAAAAATGTCGACGGAAATGGAACTCGATCCCCCTCCTCTGGACAGGAAAAATTTTGGCCATGCCCCATCCTCACATGCAACCGGCGAAACCCTCACCCAAGCTGGCGCAGTCGCCGTCCGGAGTATTGAAGGCTGGATTGTTCTTGCGACCAACATTCATGAGGAAGCTTCTGAAGAGGACGTTACCGATCTGTTTGCTGAATACGGAGAAATTAAGAATTTCAATTTAAATCTGGATCGGAGGACAGGTTACGTGAAGGTGAGTAACACTCTCCACCGGGTTTCCCCCTCCCTCCAATCCGAGCTCGCCGCCAACCACTCCTGTCGCTTGCCTTTCCGGTCACCCTGTTTACCTGAGATTACTATCAAGCTCTATTATTGTTGGTTATGTTGAATATTATAATCAGGCAACGTTGCTAACTTATCTGACAGGGCTACGCTTTGATCGAGTACACGACATTACCCGAAGCGAAAGCCGCCATCGAAGCGCTCAACGGAGCCAAACTACTTGATCAATCCATCCAGGTCGATTTCGCATTTGTCAGACCACCGCCATCACATAATAAAGGCAAATCCGGAAACGTCGGGAATCGCGCTCGGGGAGGCCGCTCCCGGAGCAGAAGTCGAAGCCGAAGCCCTGAGGGCCAGGCCGGACGAGGTTAAACCTGGCCCAGGTTGTGATGATTTTTACTGCGGAATATTGTTTCTTCCAGCGAATCTGTCTTCTCAATACTCTTTTCCCCCGGCGCTACTCTTTATGCAATATCAATGTGCATACAGAACCTTGGGTGCTTGGGGGAATATGTGTGGAGAAAATTTGGTTGGGGCTGCATACGATGTATCCATGGCGATGTGATTCCACTGAAGCAGTGGACGTTTTCATTTTAAATCGCCGACTCTGCCTTCCTTGATTACGCCCGCATCTCGCTTGCGCGCTCTCAGCGCATTGTCTGAATGCGAAGGTGTCAGGGAACAGGAGTGTCGGCACTTGATAATCTGAAGGGATAGGTAAGAACCCCCCTCTTTTACTGTAAATTGATCAATTCCGGTGCTAACAATGATGTCATTAGGTGCCTTCTTTAATCATAAATTGGACCGAATGATATATAAAATTTCAAATATTTTTCCAACGGTTCCTCTCTACTTGTGTCATACAGCCGCTGCTATTTTCCCAGGCCTTCTTTGAACGACTAACGCCCAACCCCCGTATATGCAGCTACAAATGTGCGCATAACATACCAAACTACTTAAATCATACTAGAAGTAATATAGCCTACGATTGTTCCGTTCTCCAAAGGTGTTCTGCTAAATTTTGATTTAAAATGCATAAATAACCTACGTCATGACGTCCACGAGATTTTCCAGCTCGACACAGTTGGTTTCGTGAACGGTTGTTTTCTAGTCAAAACGTATTGCCAATTGATTCTCAGCTGCTACTAAACAATCATGAGCCGCATCAGACGTCACAGGAACTGAGTAAGATTGTCCGGCTGGTTGCTATGCTGAAACACTCAACCTTATGAGCCAAATAGCTCGTGCCACACATACATCAGGCGAATAGGAATAACTGAGTATATTGGAGGGATTTCAGAATAACATTCACGCATAACTATGTACACAGTTCTCCGAAACTTCAGAATGACATTGCGAAATTTATCCTCTAGCTCCCGAAATTGAGATATTTTTCATGCCCCCCTATCTCATGAATCCCATGAACCTGTCAAGGCCAAACTCTACGGCCGCTGTATGGCTGCCATCTTGCATATAGTCTTAAAAATAGCAACATACAGTAGTACTTTTATCAAAACTGCCCTAGGTGATTTGTAAGCTACCGCTCACCTGCAACACTTATTCTGAGGATTCATCACCTCAACATTATTCACCGGCTCAACACAATTATTTTCAAATATATTTTAGCATTGTCTGGTGATTCTGTTGCGTCCAGTAATATGGTTTAGGGTTGGATCAGCCGATTTAGCGTGGTAAGTGAGGATCACCACGTTGTCACAAGCGAAACTCACTAACCCACGCTAAGTGGGAAGCGCGCCTGCCCGCTTGCCCGACCCGACCCATCCAGCTCTGGCAATCATTCCTTTATCCAACATCGCACTTCTCCCATATCCTTTGTGCTTCCAATGGCGCGGCTGATCATTACATATGCCATTGGTTAGCTAAGGCATTACTCTTTTTCATCCCTTCTCCCTCTTCCTCACTACCTAGCTCAAGGGAGAGATAGTTAGCATTGCCACACTCTTGACATACCGTAAATAACTCGACTCCAAGCTATCGATTACATATTCTTAGATATCATCCACCACACAGAAAGAGTCAAGAACAGTCTTATAACGTCGGAATGGGTTTCTGGTTGAGGCGGCCTGGAAATGGGCTATCCTCCTTCTCTCGCATTATTATTATCGTTGGATACCTTCTCTGCCTCTCGCTTCACCACTTTGCGCTGGCGCAACCATTAGAAAACACCTTAGATTCACACAGTGACCATCTCTCTAGCGATGGCCGCCAAAAACTACTCAATGGTCGCCCGAACACTGTCCCATTGCGTGGCTCCGGAGGGTCAGCGCCGCAGAAACCAATACACGACCCCATTGCCCCCACTGATACACTCAAGAAACTGCTAAACGCGTTGGAAGTAATGCAATCGTCATATTTTGAACTTTGGCAAGGGACCTGGCCGTCGAGCATTGATTGGACTGCGGCAGTTTTGGCAACACACGTCTCTGCAACGCTCTCCTCTCTGAGTATAAATCTCGATAATCTCGATGGCGATCAATTAGCAGCCGCTGACGGCTCTACCCTTGCCTACGAGAACCTTATAAACTCGTATTTTTTGCAGTTATCAACGTTTTACTTCGGGGAAGATGCTTTCAGCCTGAGAATGCAGGCGTACGACGACATGCTATGGGTAGTTCTTGATTGGTTGGAGAACATTAAGTTCCAAAACATCCACTCTACTTTATACTACTCTTCCTCCATCTCCTCCGTGTCGAATGACAGCCTGCGGTCATCATGGTATGGAACCCAGTTCAGGAAGCCCGCTGCGCACAGAGCTCGGTTGTTCTATGACCTAGCGTCTCAAGGCTGGGATACTTCCCTATGCGATGGCGGAATGGTTTGGAGCCCGTACCTCGAACCGTATAAAAATGCAATTACCAACGAGCTCTTCATTTCTGCGAGCATTGGCATGTACCTATATTTCCCTGGTGACGACATCGATTCACCCTTGCTTTCGGAATCTACTACTGACGACATGATCTCCGAACCGCACAATCCTTCCCATCTGAAGGCCGCGATTACCGCATATGAATGGCTAAAAAACTCTAATATGACGCGTGAAAACGGGCTATATGCAGATGGGTTCCACATCCAAGGATGGAGGGACAAAAGCAATCCTGGTACTGGGAAGTGCGACGTTTTAGATCCGATGGTATACACCTACAACCAAGGCGTTTTACTTAGCGGACTCAGGGGCCTCTGGCTTGCCACTGGAGCGAAATCCTATCTGGAAGATGGTCACGAACTGGTACGGAATGTCATCAAGGCGACTGGATGGCCTAACACTTCTAGCCAAAAATGGCAAGGCCTGGGACGGGCTGGAGTTCTTGAGGAAGCATGCGACAGCTCAGGGAGCTGTTCACAAAATGGCCATACATTCAAAGGCATTTTGTTCCACCATTTAGCCGAATTCTGTCGCCCTCTCACAAACGACGAAGAACAATATCTCTCTTCCTCCATTCGCAAAAGGACAACAGCTAAAATGATCAAGTCCCAGAGGGGGGACTATGAATGGCATCAAGAGAAATGTGATTCTTACTATTATTGGGTGGCACACAATGCGAATGCTTCATACGTGACGAAAGATGAGGACGGAAAGTTTGGTATGTGGTGGGGAAAGCCGTATCCACACACTGATCTCCATCCCACCCAGATATCTCCCTTGCCAGATGGCGCTGTCGACTACATCAATGAAGGCCCGTTTGCAGGTGTTCGTGATGATGATGAGTCCCATCAGCGGTTACCGAAAGGTGCAGATACTGAAATATACTTTGGGAGATATGGAAAGCTGCCCTTCTTGAAAAAGAAAAGGAATGAGGGGACATCCCGCTCATATCGCCGCGAAAGGGATCCTGCTGTTTTAAAGGATGTGAATGACCGTGGCCGGGGGCGCACTGTTGAAACTCAATCCGGTGCTGTGGCTGTTCTTCGAGCCTTGTTCCAATGGGAAATGGCTCGTAAATAGTGGATAGCATTAAATTGTTTCCTACGACTGACGAAGTACATACATGTTCATCTACATACTCTTTTGATGTATTGTTATTCTTTAACCCCGAGCTCCTTGCATTGCAAATCTTCACTGTTCATATCCCTTCTCCACACAAATGCAAATCCAATACGCTTGGATTTTCACCATTAATGAACAGGATTCTCTATTGACACGTGTACTGAACAACCTATTTCATATCCGAAACTAGAAGCAAGGGCAAACGCCAATATTCCTCCCATAGCTCAAGAGAACGGAGGAAATGATTTGTGTCAAGTTTTTAAGCTCTTTGCTAGAAGCCCGAGTGGCGGCTTTCCACTTCCTGCGTATGCGAGTGTGATGTTGCACACTCTGACTTCAGAGATGGCTACAGCTCTCCCTCCTGATGTTGTACAAAGGAGCAGCGTGTTTCACCTCCTTATTAGCAAAAATCAAAACCTTGTTATCATCCAATGCCGAGTGATTCTTCTTATCCATATCTGCGATAGCGAATTAGGCTGTATTTTATGGGACATACCCTCTCCTTCAAACCTAGCCCCCCTTGCCTTCCCGCTCATCTTGCTCCATCCAACAGATGTCCAGATTCAATATAGCGCATTCCTGTCTATCAATTTTACCTAAACCTAAATTCACCACACCTTATGAACTACACAGAGTCACGCCAGATGAATGCGCTGAATTGCATGCATACCTGTCCATCAGCGTACCACCTATTGAAGGTGAGACAATGGGGTTAAAAAGAAAAGAGTGTTCCTCTTCTCTATCTTCCTTCATGCACGCTTCAGAATACGCAGATGACATTGGCTACAGCTCATTTGGGGGGTGGGGGGTGGGGGAAAGGGGGAGAAGAAACAAGCAGGGATCCCAGGAACCCGGTTCAGAAAATCGAAAAAAAAAAACTCACTACAGAAAAGCAAGGAAGAAAGACATTCCCGATCAAAAAGAGCAATAATAAAGTATGAATAGAAACAAATAGAAACATTGGAAGCATATGCTGTACTCACCATGTGGTGCCACTTCTACAGACAGTTTTTCTTTTTTGAGCGTGACACAGCTAAACACCTCAACTCCGTTTGTTGTGGCCAGGCTTGCAGAATCTCTTGTATACTCTTCGAGGTGTGATATGTTGCTGAGGCGGGGAGACAAATTAATGACAAAAAACGAGACGCTTGATTACAATCCTGCAGCTCTAGAGAACTCGCTAGGATTCTATATCTATCTTGCACCAATGCTCAGAAAGAGAGAAAGTTCCAGATGTTCCCGAACATGATGCATCATATCTACATCATCCCTCGCTACATGTAGTCAGGGAAAGACTTAAGGGGAACCTTGTCTATGTAGAAGCTTTGGCTGGACCCTTCATCCATTCATCCCCATCTCATTGCTTGCCAATGCCTCCAAGGTTTTGACCCTCGCACACCTATCACACCCATCTCACAACTGTGGCCATCTCTCGCTTCTGGCCATACGATACGGCGAAATCGAAAAACACATGCCAGCTTTCCCCCTGTTTACAGCCCCCTGTTGAAGGTCTAATCGAAAATTTGAGCTGAGCATGGTACGTGCATATGTAATGTTATGAGTTGCTTCCCCCCCTCTTTCCTATAACCCTCCCAGCTGTGAAGGAGAGAGGGTTCGCGTATGGATGCTGCTGACAATGAACTTTGTCAAAGAAGTGTGAAAGTCTAGAAAAGTAGATAAAAAAGAAATGAAAAATTAGAAGTTGAAGAAATGAACATTTCTATCTCAATTGATGACTTCAAGATGAGAAGGAAAGAAGTGTAATCAAGTAGCAATCAGATATATTAGATTTTTCCTCATAGTTCAGTTTTCCAATGCAGTGCAGTCAAAAGAGTTTTCTATCAACAGTTACAATTACTTGAAATACTTCAGCAAAGAGTAGTTAAAAGCTAATTTCAAGAATTTTACAGTATTGTAAAGTACGAAATAGATATACAAATTATGAGGGTTTGAAGAATCATAGTAAAGATTTAGAAAAAGAAGACTTGAGATCTCAACGCCTGCTTCCACCCCTCATCTCTGTAAACCTATTTCAATCAACTTCAATTATTAATATCTTAATGAATATTCATGAAAAGTGTTCTAGACAAGAATATAATAACTTATATATATATATATATATTATTTTACTATATTTTATTATTTATTTCAAGCTTGAGTTCCAGATTTAATATATCTCCTGCGGGTTTTGAACTTACATGCCTTGATTTCTCATGTTAAGACACTACTGAGTAGCTGTATTAATCATTCAGCTATCAGAGCTTATCAATTTAATTAATCTTATTACACAGTATTAAGATTGTATAGTAGTTTTATACTATCTCAGTAAAATCTACTGCCTACTCTTATTACATTTTTAAAATAAGATTATAATTTTCACTTCTCAATTTAAATTCATTTTATTACTTTAAATGACTTTAAATCTTATTTAAGCATTATCAAAAATTGTTACTTTTTAAAAAAAATTAAAAATAGTCTAAAGAAAAAACTTTAAAATCTTTAAAAATAGTAATTTTATACTAAGAATGAAACTAAATACAATTAAATGAAATTACTTTCTTAATTTTTCTAAGTTATAGTCATATTTTAAAATCTGATTAATAGTTACTTTATATATTTTTTTAATAATTAGTCTTAGTAAGATTCAAGAAATGTATAAGATCAGATTAAATAAAATTAAATATAAAATTCATAGTTCTGCAACTTCTGCTAATCAGTCTACTATCTCTATCATTTCTTTTTATCATTTTTTTTCACTTTTTAATTTTATTATTATTATTATTATCTCTACTACTTTATAGTTTTTTTTATTACTTTTATTATTTTTACTTCTTTTTTACTATCTCTATTACATTTATTATTATTATCAAATTAATCAGAGTAATATAGATTACAGAGTCAGCTGTTCTTATAAATTTCAAAAAATATATATAATATTATATAAAATTATATTATAATATACTTTATACAGAAAAGTTAATTTTTATTAACTGAATACTCTTTCACCTTTATTAATTTTTCTATAAAAATAAATTTAAGTTATACAGACTGAAGAGCAAAGAGATATTCAAATAAATAAATTTATAAAATATAAATAATATCATATTATAATATTTTTTATATGAAAAAGTTGATTTTTCTATAATAAAGAGAGAAATATATAATATAATATAACTTCTCTAATAATAAATAAAAGATTAAGTATTTTACAGTATATTTTAAATACTCAGCTCAGCTCTTCAGTTTATACAGCTCAGATTAATTTTCAAATTTTCATTCTTTTTTTCATTCTGCTCTTTTCATACATTTTTTATAATATTCACATTTCTTATACTCTTCTCTGTGTTAATTTTAATCTCTGTATTTATAATATATGCTACTAAATACTTTGTAATAAAATCTCATGTGATGTCATGTGCATCTCTTTGAATTCATGAATGAGATTGAACAGCTAACTCTGCAGTCTGTACAGCTCTGATTAATCTGATAATGATGATAGAGGTGATACAGAGTGGAAGAGAGTAGTAGAGTAGAGATAGTGATGGTAGTAGAGAGAGTAGAGAGTGAAAGGAGTGAAAGAGGTGGTAAGAGAGCGTAGAGATAGAAGGTGAAAGTGGTAGAAGAAGCTGCGGGGCGGTAGAGGCGGTGGTGGTGGTAGAGGGGGTAGGGGGTGGAAGGGGTGATAGGGGTGGTAAGAGAGGGGTAGAGATAGGGGGTAGAAGTGGTAGAGAGGGTTGCGGGGCGGTAGAGGCGGTGGTGGTGGTAGAGGGGGTAGAGGGTGGAAGTGGTAGAGGGGGCTGCGCAAGCAGCAAAGCGAGGGTAAGCGAGCATATGATGCTTGTATACTCTGTATAATAACTAGTTATAATATTTATTTCTTTTCATTGAATCTAAAGAAATGAGATTTTTTTTGCTTGTTTATTCTTTGAGAGAAGAAAGAAGAGAGAGATAGAAAACCTCTCTTTCCTTTGATGTGACAAAACTCTTAACTCAATTGATTCCATCCATGAATAATAAGAGAAAGTGGGGAAAAAAAAAATATTCACCAAGCTCATTCATTCAACACACAATAATAGCAGAACTCCATCAACCACACCTGATGTGTGATTTCTCCGACATGGGTTTGAATAAAATGTCGGGAAAAAAGAAGAAGGAAAAGACAGAGAAGAACAAGAGGACAGAAAGTAGAAGCTATTGGTAAAAAGAACTCGACGCCTCTGCTTGAGAGACAAAAACAATAACAAAAATGAATAACAAAAGTCGCAAAACCTGAAAAAAAAAAGAAAAAAAGTCCTGCAAGTTAACGGTCTGAACAGTAAATTGGAAGAATCATACATGGTACAGGTGAAAACTCAAGGTTTGATAAAGAGGGGGAGAGAATATATCGCACTCCTAATTCAGCAGGGGATCGGAAAGCATAGTAAAAAAGTGATTGAATAAAAAAAAAGTGACATTAGTTCTTAGTCTCAAAGGATTTGAACGTATTTATGTGCAATTCGATGCAGAAAGTTTCAAATCCGTCATCCTAAGATCGACTCGACCAGTGTGAGTGAAAAGGATATTGTCACCGGGCAACCAGGTAGCCAGCGCACTACTAATCGACCCAAAATCGCATACGCGAAAAATTAATGGAATCGATTTGAAAGCTATGTGGACCATGGCACGCCATCACTGGCTCAGATATCGCAGTCGCGCATCTCTTGTGGGAGATAAAAGACGGAAAATAAAGAGAGATTTAGAATTCCAGGATGGCAGCAAAGAAGCCTGGCGTGTTTTTTTTTTTTTTTTTTTTTTTTTTTTTTTTTTTTTCTCCCTTTCTTGCGGCGGTTTACGTTTATTGTCTTTCTTTGGTCAGGTCAGGATATGATGATGATACATGCTCACAAGAGCTGAACTTGCCACTGGCCAAAGGAAATTCCTGGCTTTGATTTCGGATTGGCGATACCTGCTCTTCCTTTCTATTTCCGCACCGGGCAGAGGAACATGTGGGAAGATGGATATATGCAGAAGCAAGCCGAAACTTGCTAGTGTCTAAAACTGACGGGGTATCTTGGATCGAAGGGGTGATTCTAACGAGGTGTAATATATAAAGCTCGTTTCGTAATCGGCCGATGACGATAAGAAAACGTCGCTCAAGAAATGAATGACTAGTAATGCGTTTGCAGTCGACTTTCGCGGGTTTTTTTTTTTTTTTTTTTTTTTTTTTTTTTTTGGGTTTCTAGAGTATAGACTCCAGGAGATTAAGAAGATTAAAGATGTATTATAGGCGATAATAAAAGGCTATGCTAACGCTGCTGCTCGAAGGTCGTAATGCGTAATAATATCATGAATGTGTCGAAGGTAAGTTCGTGGCTTTATTGAGTCGCTGAGCCCTCAACCTGGTCGTCGAGACCAAGGGAACGGCGAGTCGTTTGTTTTGTGAGTGGGTTGAGCGAAGAAGGGAAAAGAGTGGGAAGTGTATTTCAACCCCCATCCGGTTTTAACTGATCACTTCTGTGCTTTCTTTCCTTTCCCGACGCCACTGGTTGATGTAACCTCCGTCTTAGCAGACATCGTTCGTGTTAGGCCACCGATATAGTCCTGTAAGAATCTATTCTCGTTTTCTAGTTTGTCATGGTCTGACTTGACCTCATCAATGCGCTCTGCGAGGGCCTGCAGTGATGACTGCAGGGTATTTGCTTGCCTACGCCAAAGCCATCGGATTAGAATTAGAAAATCGAAGGACGTGGGGCATGTTGGCCTAGTGAATGGTAGGCAAAGAAAAGCGAAACGGCGAAAAAAACTCGGACGAAAAAGGCATAGAGGGTAGAAGAGAGAAAGGAGCCCAGCTTTGCTGGATTGTACTCTTAGCGAAACTCACTTTTGCAAGGCCTCTCTAGCTTCCCTGCTGAGCTTCTCAACATCTGCAGAGTTCCTTCTTGGGCTCATGGCACGAGCGTCGTCCGGGGGGAACTCCTCCTCCTCGATCTCAATTTCAGGGTGGTCACGGGGAACAAGGATGGAGGCACTGGGTTTCCGACTCGCCAGGCGGGGGCGGTCGGCCCGCGATTTTCGATCATGTTCAGTATCCCATATTGAGGATGAGGATGACGAAAGAGACGAGACATGCACGCTGTTGATATTCTCGTTAGGAGATGGCATTGCCGGCACTGGATCTGATCTATTGTGCACACCAGTTCCAACAGCCATTCTGTGGTATTGTGGACCCCAAATCCGCAGATCGAAATTATCAAGGGAGGGGAAAAAAATGCAAATGGAAATGAAAAATTAGGATGTCCCAGCTCTCAAATACCACGAGGTGGCAATAGATCGCGAGGCTGGAGACGAGAAAATGAAGTTGTTGAAAAAGACGGTAAACGCCCAAGCTAGTGCAAGAGTGGCAGCAGCGAGGGGCGGGACATCAATCAACGATACGGCTAAATCGGGAAGTCACTTTTTATAAGAGTAGACAATGATCCGCAAAGAGAAAAGCGAAGGGTTCGGAAGAAAAAAAATGGCGAGTTGAGGTGGTGAGGAGGTGAGGAGGCGGCGGCGGTATAGAGCCCTTTCGGGGGAGGTGATGATGTATTGAAGAGGGAGAGTGTGGAAGAGAAGAGTAAAATATAAACAAGGGAGAAGAAATGAATTTCGCAAGACCGATATATGGCGAAGAAACCAGCCGACCACCTCGTAAGGCGCTGAAAGAGAAACGGCGGCAGGGGAGAGAAACAATAAGTCAGGAGGAGAGGTGTGGAGCGTTCGCTGGTTTTGACAAGAGACGCCCGACGAGGATGGAGACGACGCCGACAGCTGTGCTCCGTAGTGAGGCAAAAAGACGCCAACAGCCCTGATTAATGGAGACAGAAAAACAACGGTGAAGACTTTCTTTCATCGACAACCGCTGGCTGTGGTGTACTGGGAGGAGAGAGCCCTCGTTTCTCGCCGTCTGCCAGGCAGTCTTCGGCTCTTGGTTTGTGTATATTTCAGTGTCTGCAGCGCTGGGGTGGGCGAGCGAGCGAGGGTGAGGGAAGATTTTGACTCTCTCTTCTCCGGGCAGTGGAGCAGTCGTAGTGGATGGGAATGGAAGAGAATGGCAGGGTTGGTCGAAGGATGGTTAGCATGGGTGGAAGGTTTACGCTGGTCGGTCGTAGTGGGAGTGGTAGCGCTGGTGCTGGTGGTTGCTGGTGGGTGCTGGAAGTGGATGTCAGTCAGCCGATGAGGGCGCCGTGTATTATTATTTGCTGACTCTGCGTAGTACACCTTGGCCCGCTTACAATACCAGTACATTTTTAATAGACAGTGTACTGCCCGTACTGTAACGAGCAAGAAACGGCCGATCGCTAGGATGGATGCAGCATGATTGCTGATGAAGATGGATTCCACGGTTCCAAGGATAATCATTTTATCCACCCCTGTAACTCTGTCCACTCCAAGGGCTGTGTTGTGGTTGGCACTTTTATCAGATACTTCATCCTCTTTGGCTGCTGTTGCTCTTGCTAGCGCACGCCCTAGCCAAATACTGTCATGATTACATTACATTACCCCGTACAAAAATAAAAAAATGACAGTTTTACTTCAATTTTTCCTTTGAGCATGAATCAGCCTATTCTACTGTAACTTTCTAACTATTGAATGAACTATGTCTCTAACTCTCTATTGTGTAGTTACTCCATAGCATGTAAGTAAACAACTCTCAGTAATTTGATTTCACTTGTGAGAAAAAACAACAGCTTTAGAGCTCTCTAAAAACAACACTGCTGTGAATATGGTCAGGTTCCGTTTTGAAATAGCTGCAGTGCAGTGAGCAATATTACATACAGTTCTCTATTATAACCGTAATGGCTCAGTGTTCTACGGAGCGGAGTATTCATTTCAGTACTCTGTATGATAGATAACATGAGTATGTATCAAATGAATCATCAACAAGTCTCTGCGGTCTTTTGTATACGCATAGTAGTGCTGACTCTTGTGAACAACTCACTGACTTTTTTTGTGCTCAAATCAATAAGCAGAGGGAAATTAAAGAAAGTGAATCTGTTTTATATAAATAAAATGAAGAAAAATACATCTACCACTTTTTTAAAAAGTAATATTGAAATAGTGAGTAAATTATTGATCTCTCAAGATTAGAAATTGATCGATTGAGAAGAAAATTAAAAAATCTGAAAAAATCAAAAATCAAAAAATCAAATTGTAATTAATTTAAAATATAAAATCCGATGAAAACTAAAATCTGTTCACTTCTCATCTGCATGAATAATTTTTCAGACATACTAAAATACAGATTCACATTCAAGTCAATTCTCATATCTTGATTCTATAGTTTGTTAGTAGATATTTCTTAGCTAATTTGATTCTTAAATATGACTTTTTGAAGAAAAGCACAGCTTGCTATTATATCAGCTTTCAGTCAGCAAATAGAAGAGCAGAGTAAGTTACTCTGCAGCTGATCTACTTCAGAGACGTAGATTAACTCCTCTCTTATTAATTGATATCTTTTTCGAATGATTGTTTGCCTGTATCTGTCAAACAACCATCCTTGAGAACTTTTGAATGAGAGTAAGCCACCGAGGTTCAGTGCTGATATCTCTTTCTTCATGAAATGCTCAGTTTGAATCTAACATACAGCTTTCAACTCAATAAGGCAGTTAAAAGTTCCCATTCGAACCTATTCATGAATATTCGCTATAGTTATCCCGCTCTGAAACGCTCAAAATACGGACTCGCAGCAAGTCACTTCTTGCTTCCGCACACTCTCCCGCTCCCGTCTGGAATCCCGAATTTCAAACCCCTATCACCTCCAATTTTATTACCCGGGATGCAAGGGGCGCATGTATGTTAGATGTACATGTACACCCTTCCAGTCGGTATCAGTTCCCGGTCTACCTCTGCAAATCTTGTGGGACGGCGGCTGATTAGAGTGCGCTTCTCGCCGTGTAATCTGGCACTGCCAAGAAGAACAAGGGTTGAGTGAAGAGGGAAGAAATAAAAAAGCGTGAAGAATATCCGGAGAGATTCATCCTGTGTGGGTTTTTGGTCACGGTAACGAGATCCGGGGGTCATTGACAACCTCCACCCTTTATTTCAATATTCTACCTTCTTGTAGTTTCATATTCTGCCCAAAAAAATACACTTATCGCAATGCCGATATGAATAGACCGGCTTACAACTGAGCCAGAAGACATCAGAGAGTTGTTCAATACTAATATTACTGTTGCCAAAACGATAGAGGTGCAAGTTCTTATTTTTGGTGAGTTGTAAATATCTCATATCTCATCAAAATCTCTTGGGCAAAAATTCGAAATCAAAACCTTGCGTGTGCAAACATCTAGCTCTTCGATTAGTTAAAGATAAAGATGATGATTTTGCCGAGTAAATAATAATAACATGTTGAATGAACAAGGAAGCGGTGCCGAAGGGGGGTCAGTTTTGTTCCTCTTAAACAAAAGACCCCAGAATTTAGAGAGATATAGTTACGCAGAGAAGTTACATAGATATGTCATCTCCGGAGAAGCCCGCCCGAAAAATCCAATCTTAATAGAATAATCTCTAGTTAAGGGTTATTATAGAATCTTGAGGCTGCATGCCTCTCCCCCTGCGATCGGTTTTCTCATTTCCCCCTCTTTTTTTTTTTTTTTTTTTTTTTTTTTTTTTTTTTTCCTCTCCTCTCTCTCTCGCTGTTGGTGTGATGCGACTGAACGAATGAAGGGTGTTAGGGTTTGGCAGCGGGATATTATTTTCCTGCCATAGTCATCAGTTCGGAGGAACTGTTTCTCTTCCCTCTGCATGTCACTGCAATGTGTTTCCAACTTCGGCCAACTTCGGGGGATGATGAACGAGGTTAAGCAGCCAGGTCAGTCATATGGTTGTCCTCGCCTTGCGGGAAAGGGGCTATAATAGGTTATCCATGAATCATTATTAGATACATACAACAAATTTCGTACCGAGTCCATTTTCTGAGGCCCCAGGGTCAAGAACATCTTTCCCGATGCATAATTTCCAACCCCAGTCAAACAGGAACCCAACCGTGCGCTTGGCAGTACCAGAAACCATGAATCCGGGGAGCAAGCTTTACGTATCCCCTGGCTTGTTTTGACGCATGCTTAAATAAATAATAATGATAATTCAACAATTTCTATGGAGCATTTAAAGAGACATGAATATATGTTACTATGCACTTGTAGCAGGTATAGTATACTGTTGAATAAAAATACCTTAATGCACACAAGTATGTCTGCAAAGACATTACAAAGCAAAGCTCAAAATGAAAAACTCTGCAAAATTGATTTTATAGTTTATTATTAATAATAATAGAGATTCATTTTTCAATATAAAAGTACTAGCTAACTAAATAGAAGAAGAAAAAAAAGAAATAACTTCTTATTAATTTATATCTTAATTTTTAAAAATAGTTGAAATAATTTAAAAAAGATTTATAATAATTCTGAATTTAATTTTCAGTTATTTTCTCTTTATATAGAGCTTTATTTTCAATATAAAAGTTAAAATTTTAATATTACAACTATTAACTGATTTTATATTTATTATATTTTTTGAAAATTATAATTCTTTAAGTAACCGTAAAAATAGTAGAATATTATAAAGAAATAAATTAATTAAAAGATTAATATTATATTCAGACTTCTAATATGTTATTTATTCTTAAAAAATTTCAGTATTATAATCTCACTGTTATAATTATATATAGAAATTAAATTTAAAAAATTAAAAAATGTAAATTAATTAACAGTAAAATGATTATATAATTAATATTATTAAGTATTTACATTATAATTATTTATAACTCAGAAATAATTTCTTTATATAATTTGAAAGAATGTACAATCACTGAATAATAATACAGTCACTTCCGAACATACTTACAAATGTAAAGAGATTATAGCAGTCATTAATTAATTTAGTGTAATATATATAAGAAGCTGATGTATATCTGTAATCATACACTGACTCAAGCAACCTTTAAATGACATCTGATAGCATGTTTAAAAACTGATAAGAAGTACAGACTTCTTCAGAGTGTGATAATTCTATCTATAAAGTGATTTATAGTTATTATATCAGAGTGATTCTAAAATGCTTTAAAAGATAGTATATAAAGAGTAGTAAGTGAAAGAGTATTCAATTAATACTGCTCTGCTTGTTAAGAGAAAACTTCACACTCAGATGAATATCATGTATGTGAATAGATAAGATATGAGAAAGAAGATAAGAGTAGTGAATTAGATTTAAAGAAGTCTGCTCTCTACTCAGAAGAATAAAAAGAGATAGTTATTATTGAAATTATATAATAATAATAGAAAACAGAAAACAGAAATCATATAATAATATAATAATAAACACTGTATAATCAATGAAAAATCACTGAAATAAACATCTTCTCTAGTTAATATAAATAATATTCTTCTCTGCTATCTGAACTGAAAGATATACAGAATCTCTTAAAAGATTTACTCAAAGTAGTAAGAAAAATAGCTGAGACTACTGAACTGAAATTGAAGCTCTGTATATATATAAGAATTCTAAACAAGATTGAAGCCTTGTATACACAGTGACAGACTGAGACAGAAGTTAGGTAATAATTGATATTCACTGCAGATCAAGTATTCACTATAAAGAGCTTCACTAATACAATTATCATTATTAATAAGAATAGAAAAAATCAGGTTATAAATCTGTAGTAAGAAATTTGTAAGAGGCCTACACTGAATAAATCAGTATAATATTGATAGATCTTATATAATAAAGAGAAAAATGTTAGAGAAGAAAAGAAAGAGAAAGTGTAGAAATCAGTAATTAAAGTGAATATTTATACATGTATGTGATAACATACACAGTGAAGTTTCAGAGTGAAAGAATCTATACATGTTTATAGTGACTGAGAATCAGTGATTGAGAATGGCTGAGAATCAGAGTATATATATTTAAGAGTGAAGTGAAAGAATCTATGAAGTGAAGTAGAAGAATCTATGAAGTGTAATAAAATAGTCTATATAATTGATCAGGCACAGTCTGTCACATTAGTTCTCTTCTTTCAGAAGCAGTTCTCATCAGTCAAGAACTGCTGTTTTAAATAACACAGAACTCAGAGTTCAGATCAGTTAATTGTAGCTAACTCATTTCATAAAATATTATCAGCTGTGACTGTGAGATCTCTCATTGAGAATATTCTCAATCTCTTACTCAAGCTTATTATCTTCTTCTATAATGTCTGATGACTGTCAGTCAGAAGTCAGTTGAGAAGAGAATGAATCAGTGACAGTATAGTAAAGTAAGCTTATGTGAAATATATTATAAATCTCTGATAATGTGTTAAGATAATAATTATAACTATCTAGAACTTCTATCACTTCATATCTGATATGATAGTAATCTAGTATATAAGATAAATGTGTGATTTGTATATTCTTAAGATTCAATTATATCAGATCTTCTATCT